TACGTCCGACCTGCAGCAGCCTGTAGGATGAAGCAGTTGAATCCATCGACAGGCCTCCATGCTCCTAGAGGATCTCAAAGAAATCATGTTTAGGTTCATCTAACGCCACCAGGTAGTGGGGTGATGCTGGTCAGGATCTTGCAGGAGACATCTCAGTACCCTATCTATAAAGAAACATGGCTCTATTCCCAGACCATACAAGCCAAGAGTCATCTTGACTCACTGCAATAACATTTCACCAGATGAGACTGTCCCGACACTCCCTTTCTTTATTCAGATTATTTTTTTATTTTCATTAAATCATGCGACACCTTTTCGTTCCTGACATATTTACCCGTTCCATATCAGTATGGATATCCCTCATGGTTGCTTTCTCTCTACTTGAGGTTAAATGTTAATTTTCAGTGTCCCTTCAATGATTTTGAGCAGTGCATTCTAGGTACTCAAGCCAATCTGAAAACGATCAATTTGACAGTGCCTTGCAAAAGTATTGATACCCCTGCAACTTTATCATGTTTGATCATGTTACAATAACAGACTACATAGTGCTTTATTGGAATTTTATATGCAAGACAAACACAAAGTAGTTGGGAATTGGGAAGTGGTCAGAAAACATTACATGGATTAACATTTTTTTAAGAAATATCAAAGTGTGGCATCTGTATTCCACTTGGTCTGATACCGTGAGTAAAATTGCAATAAACTGCCTTTAGAAGTCATCTTCTGTAAACATTAAGTCAAGTTAATCTATACTGTATTTTTAAAACTACAAGATCAGTCATATTTCATGGAGCGCTTTGGTGCACATCAGTGTTGGTGGCTCGCCTTTGATCAGATTTAGGTCCATACGATGTTTGAACCACTGTAGGACTTGAAAAGGCTTTGACCTATTTCACTACTTAACTCTGACCAGTTGCCAAGTCTCTTCTTGGGAAAAGCAGCCTTCCCACAACATGATGCAGCCACCACTGTGTTACATTAGAGGAGCTGTGTTTCTCTGGAGCTCCTTAACCACCTAAACTGACAATATGCTTTATAACCGAACCAAATTGCTGTGTACAGTGGTATTTATCATGAAGCTGTATTTATACTGGGATTATTTACTTTCCAAGTCAGTTTTGTCCTTTGTGTCTGTCAATCAGCTATCATCCCAATAAAATAGCCTGAAACGAGTGGCTGCAGCACGGCACGCGTGGAAAAGTTACGCAAATACTTTTGCTAGGCGCTGTACAACATTCAGGACATGGCAGCAAGTCCTCTGCTGATGGGAAATCATTTTACTGTTGCTTTGCTCAGCGGGCTTTATCGTTTATAACACTCCAAAATCAGATTCTAGCAGTTGTTTTCAGACTGTACTGTTTGACACACACAGGGCTGTAAATTATTCTGTAAGTACCAAAACTGTACAGTCTAGATGTTATTAGCAACAGTGTGAGAAAATGTATACAGAAATTGCATATATTTTTTGTAAGACAGGTTTTATTTTCCATAGAACTTATTTATATCATTTACTGTCTGTTTTTATTTGAAACCAATGTATGTGAAAATTTTATTGTAAATACATTTTATTTCCTAAGATAATACTTGGTAGTGTGATTTATACTCTGATCAGAACCTCTCAATAAATGGTTCTAAATGTTGACTAAGTTACTCATTGTCCTGGTTTTTGTTAGGATTTTAATTAATATGTGATGGTTTAAAAATGGTTTACAGAAGGCATGGCAGGTTTATTTGTATAGCACAATTCAAAGTGCTTTACATGAATTAAAACATCAAAAAGAAGAAACAAAATGTGACAAGTAGTAGGATGACTGTTCTAGATAGGCAATGCTATATTGGTTCAGACAGGTGAAATCCTTCAAAAAATTTGCTTCAGAAAAAAAAAAAAAAGCCAAAGAGATTTTATGACAAAGCCAGATGTTCATCTCCCCGGTGAGACTACAGAGGATCTAGAGGTGTTCTTAAAACAGGAAAATTAAGTCCTTCCATCGAGTTTTATTTCTGCCTCCTTCCTATTGGACGACCTTGAACAGCTGCAGGAGTCCTCATCAGTTAGGAAAATTCTGGGAAAGCAGAGAACTTCAGTATATTTACATCTGGATAAATATGTGAGGAAAACTTTAGAGTGAAAAAAGTATTTCTAAACTTTCTTCTTTATCCTAATTTAATTTGTATCCATTTGTTTCTTTCCATTAATTCATCAGAAAAAGCATCTGTCAATCATCCAAGAGTTTGTAATCTATTGATCCACCCATCTAAAATCATTCACCAATCTATCGTTCCATCCACTCATCCCGTTTGATTTACACAAAGACAGTTATATTTTAAATTGTTAAACATTAATATCAATGCCTTAAAATTAGCAAACATAGAAAAGCAATATAATTTTTTTATTTATGCCATAGTTAATATGCTGCACTGCACCTTATATTAATAAAAAAATGTCTAAAATAAATTATACTTTTAAAGAATTTATGCCTTTTATTATCTAATTAAAAGTTTATGGGTAACATTATTTATTCTTACTCCATCTAGACTAAATTCTTGTTAGAACTAATGATTCTGAAGGCTCTTCATTGATGACTCAGTGTTATTCATTAACACTACTGGTGTCAAAGGTTGATTTAAACCAGTGGAATTTACCACTCAACTTGGATGTTTTTTCATCTTATATTATTGATTATTTAATAACCGTTATTTAGAGCTGAAGTGATGCATGAGATGTGAAAAAAAAAGCGAGCTAGAAGGCACTCAGGTTAGTTGAAGTATGGTGGAAAGCTAATCCTACACTAACACACCACCTTCATTGTGACACATGGTGGTGCCAGCATCATGCTGTAGGGAGGCTTTGTTCAGTAGGAACAAGTGAAAATGGTCAGAGTTTTGGGGATTATATAAAGTGTTAATGAAAAGGCTGGAGGAGAATCTGTTAGAGGCTGTGAAGAAATTCAACATGGACATCAGAACAGCACGACATATTGAGCCAGTTTTCTATGGAATGGGTAAAGCTTGCCCATGTGTTAGAACAATTAAGTCAAATGCCAGATCTAAATCCAGTTAAAAATATGAATATATGCATTTCTTTTTTTTTAAGTAAAAAAAAGGAAATATTTCAGCTTATAGATATACAGATTCGGAAGAGATGCCACAACAGACTTATTACGCAATGAAAATGGACTCATGTATTGACTGGATGGGTCGGGATAAATGCAACCTCTGCAATTTTCAGTTTTATTTCCCAAAAAAAAATATTGAAAATCATATATATTGTGCACAGCTGTGTGCTGCTATATATATATATATATATATATATATATATATATATATATATATATATATATATATATATATATATAAAATAAAAAAAACAGGCATTAAGGTATATGATGATAAAATGATTCAAGTTCCAACGCTTCTAGATACATTTGCAAAGCTGTCACTGCCAGCTACAGTTCAGAAGCTATTAACTAATTTATAACCTTAAAGGCTAAAATAGGAGCCTGCAAAATAAAAATAAAAAATCAGCCAATTTAGGGTTAACAATGCAAAAACGGGGGGGGGGATCCTTTTCAAATTGTTGAGTCTAAAAAAAAGTGAAGTTCTATCAAGAAATGACCGAATTAACAACTATATGGAGAGGATGCTACTAACTAAAAAAGTAATAATAAAATCTGTTACAGTAGAAGAGCAGCAGTTTAGAAGTAAATAAATTTAGTTAGAGGTGAACATATATATATAAATATATATTTAAAAGAAAGTGTTCATCTTAAAAGTGTTCTCCTCCTCAGGTTCAGTCCCTCCTTTTGTGGAAAACACTGTATCCCAGGTCCAACACTGCTCCACCCAGCAGCAGCCAAAGCGGGACACAGATCACACTGACCCAGGTCTCCGTCATCTTCTCAAGCCTGGAGCACAGAGTCAGACAGAAAGCCTTCTTGAGGAGCAGAGCCGCCAGGTACCACAGTCTCCTCTTTACGCTCTTCTCCTCATTCCTAGGGTCGAAGTCCGGTTTGCAGCGACCTGCCATCTCCATGATCTGTATGAGGATCAGGATGGTGTCAAAGGTCCAGACAGGGAGGAAGATCAAATACCAGCTCCAGTTGAGTTTGGAGTCCAGCTTGAGGACAAGCATAATGAGGAAGATCAGGGCGAAGATCCAAGAGAGAAAGACTCGTTGAGCCAGGGACATCTTCATCTAGGACGGCGGCGAGGAGCCAGTTTGATCCGCAGAATGAGGCTGAAATGCCGCTGAAGTGAGCAGCAAAGGAGACGGAGTGATTCGGCAGCAAGACAACCGCTCTCTGTCTGAAAGAAACGGTAAAAATTAGATGGGGGGGGGGGAAGGAAAAAGTCAGCATCGGGTAAACATCCAGCTACTGTTACCTTCTCAACACTAGGCTATTCCACCAAAACAATAGTTTAGGAAGATGTTTTACCGAGTTTACCGGGAGTGTCGGTTTGTTTCCTTATAAATGCGGGTTTAAAGATAAAATGGTCATCGAGGAAACATTTCGACACATTTAAATTCGAATTTTTTAACACGAAAATAACCACGTAGAATGCTTTAGCCTCAAGCTAATTCATACCAAAATGCACTTCCGGTTTGTTGATTTAAAAATGGGCGTGTTTTTTAACAGCTTCCGGTTTGCTTTCAAAATAAATGCGTCGTTTCATTTTTTTGAAATTAACATATCTACTTTTAAACTCGTTCCATTGCTATGGAAGCCCATCGGAAATTAAAAAAAGGCACATGGTATCTCATAATCATACGATTAAAGTCGTAATACTTTTAAAGGTATAATTCGAAATTTATATCAATACCTTCAATCTTACATTTATTCACTCAATTTTAACGATAGACAACGCCACAGAGAATCCCAGCTAATTATTGTAATTTATGCATACCGTGTTCCTTACAAAACAAAGGGAGTATATAAAGTTTTGAGTAATCCAAAATAATCTATTTATACAAAAAAAATTCAAATTCATAGAGTATATTCTTTTAGATATCACTCAAATTTATTTATTCTTATGGGGCCAGTATAACAAATTCATACAAAGTACAATTCTGGAGACATCATAGATTGTCCAAAAAGTAAAGTACAAAATGCTTTGAGGTAAAACATCATTTAAAAAGATTAATTTAAAAAGCTCTTATTTAAAAAAGCAATTCCTTTTAGAACAAATGTTCACTATACAAGATCTACCTTTTCTGAAGAAAAAAACAACATACTTTTTTTATTTACATGTTAGTGGTGGTGCAAATTACAGTGTGAGACAACATTCAGTTGAAAATGTTTCCATCTCTGTCAAATGTAAACAAACACTGTCATATTCCCTCGAACCACAAAGCCCATGCATTGAAAGTAACACAATCGCAAGATTATTTTGCAGCTGTGAGAGCTGCTAGAAAGCGAGAGAACCTCTGAACCTCCAAGCAGCACACGAAGGAGCGAAGACAGATTATAGAACAGTTTTTCTCAGAGTACATTAATGCAAAACAACCTGTAACATAAAAAAAATGGATTAATGTGTACAATTTGCAGCTTTTTAAAGAATAACAACCGCAGAGGCAAAAAAAATAAAAAAAAAAATGTAGAAAATACTTTAGAGAAATTAATTACATTAATATTTATTTCCCTGCTGTGAATTAACCCTATGAAACAACAAAAATAGAAAGAAAGAAAAACAGTGTAATTTCATCTCATAATACTTAAACCTCCCAAATCTATTCATATTAAGGATATTCTAGGTGTGTCTCACTGATATGTAGTTACATTGATAAATTCAATCTTAAGACATTCTCATTCATTTTCAGTTGTAAACAACATGCTCTACTCATCGTTTGCTGGGGATTCATTTTCTGAAACTCTGTCTCAGCGCAGACTAAAATTAATAGTGCAACTGGAGCTTTTTGACATGAAGAACTCTGAGAAATTAAGGTTCAGTCTCAGAAACGGCTTCTGAGTAAATTAGAAATGTCATTAAAAAAAACTAAGCAGTCACTTTAAAAAGTGAAGCTGTAGTTTATTCCATTTCATTTGATTTATCTCATCATATAACTAATAAAAAAAAATCAATTTATCTAAAAAAAATAAATAAACAACAGACAATCCCGTTGGGTGAAGAGGTTAAAGTATTTGACTTTACTTTGAGCAACCAAGGTCAGAATCTCAGATGCATCAGGAAGGGCATCAAGCGTAAAAACTCTGTCCCATATGAGAGCAAATTGTAAAGACTTTCTGTAGTGACCCCAGGACAAGGGAGCAGCTGAAAGGACTCATTAGTTTCTCTAAAAAAAGAGAATATTAAGTGAATAAAAATTGATGTTTATCTAATTGTCACACTATGGCCTACACAATTAAGCGGAAGACTTTCTAAATGGCAGTAATACAGTTAACTTTCATTGACACCTTCAAATAGAAAAGTAATCATCAAAAATGTATTGCCAAAAAATCAAAACTGGTTAGTTAGAGAAAGATATATCCAAGCATGTCAGAATCAGGGCTACTGAGTGTCTGTGGACAGTTAGGTGGAAGGAAAACCTGCAGTTAAAGAAAAGGATCCACAACAGCTTTTACCACAGCCTTAAGATTTTTGTGAAGAAAACTACATTAAAAAGGCTCAAGTGAATTTTAAGGGCTGTGATCTGATTCTGCAGGCAGCTTTTTTATAAAGCTTTGCAGAGACGTATCTAGGACAGCTGTAACTTTTGCATTCGGCCACTTTTGAACCACTGTTTAAAGGCATTGTTATGATCTACACAACCGGGAGGAAGACAACAGACAGATGGAGCTTTTTTTTTTATCACGGCTTTCCTTTCACTTAAACCTCTGTCCACATGAGGGTATATGGCAATTAGGGAAGTTTTACCATCAAATGACCTGTTGTGGCTTACTCTCATTGTGGAAGGTGTCAGTAACTAACATGATCTCTTTTCAGTCTATTTGTGCGCATTTATTTTCTTATAAACTTAATTTTATAAGCTGCAAGCCATGGTCATTAAAATAACTGAAACAAAGACATCCCTCCTTGTATAATGGATCTATTTAACATAAAAGTTTCACATTTTAAGATAAATAACTGAAATAAATTAACGATCAATAATTTTTTTCCAAGTTATTTAGATGCACTTGTATATTTTTTGACTGCTTCATCTTGTTAAAACGTTGGACTTTTTTAAAATAGTGAACATTTTTTGTTGTTTAGGATTAACACCTCTTTAGTCATCGGTACCGCTTCATGTCAACCCGGACATGTATGATCATTTTGCTTTCCTTAGCTGCTTTAAAGTTTCACAGAAGAATTGAAATAATATTTTCCACATATGAAGAAAGTTGTTGAAAATGTCAGTATAAAAGAAAAAAAAAACGGAAAATGTACCTTTTTGCTGAAATGTATACATATCTTTTTTCCCCTCCAATTTCTACCAGAATTTTCCACACACTCACTCGCTGTGGGTCCCTTACATAGACCCCAGCTACACAGTGCTCTGCCTGCTCTCACACGTAAGGCTGTTTCTGCCAGAAGAGTGGGAAGGGAAATCAATAAATATCCCGTCTGAGTCTGAGCCGGCAGACTCCGGAACCTGTCCGATTATAGTTTCAGGACTGGACGTTTCGCTGGGTGGCGAGGAGGAAGCCCCCCTACTGAGATCAGTCACTGTTGTGGTGGCCTCTGTGCCGTGGAGCGCTCCTGAGGAATGAAGGATGGAAGGAGACGACAGAGCCAAGTCCATGGCACCGGCTCCTGCTTGTACAATCCCTAAGAGTGAAAGAGCATTCTTGTTTTTTTTTTTTACAGATTCTGGTTTTATACTGTGAGTGAGACTAAAAGAAAAATAAATACCTACCATTAATCTGAGTGCCCACACAGAGTCTGTTGGAGGAGGGACCAGACAGCTCTGATCCTGGAGCCAGGTCAGAGTAGGTCAGCCCCTGTTCCTCCAGGCACGATATGATCTCACAAGCCGAGTGGCGACGAATCCCTCCGCTCCCGACCGAGCTCGCATCTGGGTCGTACTCAGCCACCGGCGTCAGCAGCAGGGGGATGTTGTAGCTTTTGGATCGTACCACTGGGTTTTTGGATGGTTGGTCTGCAGACTTGGGCCAGCCCCATGGCACCCGCTTGTCTGGACAACATGAAAAAAGAGCTTTAGTTAAACTCCATCTCTCCTTTCACTAGGCAGGTCATCATTATCGTTTGCTTCTGACGAACCAAACACGCAGCAGTGGTCGTCGTCCTCTTCTCCCGAGTAGAGACCATGGGTGCCCAGGTAGGGTGAGACCACTTTCTGCACCAGAGACTCCAGCCTTAAATAGTCCTCATTAACACCCCGTGACTCATGGACGCCCTTTAACAAACCATAAAAAAAAAAAAAAATTACATGTTGGGTTATGGTTCAACAGCTTCAACCTCAAAAGTTGGAATTTTGATTGAATAATTTATAGATTTTAACAAAAGAAATTCAATGCAAATGTTTCAATTCATTACAAATTTTGTCTCATCTGCACAGTTTAATTTTTTTCCCTCCCAGTTTTTATTGTCATTACACTGTAACAAGTACAGAGCAAAATTAACTCTCTGCATTTAACCCATCCCCTTGGGGAGCAGTGGTCTGCCATTGTGCGGCATCTGGAGAGCAGTGTGGGGTTAAGGGTCTTTGCTCATGGACCCAGAGTTGCAGTCCGTGGGAGTGGGGCTCGAACTCAGAACCTCAGGATTCCAAGCTTTATGCCCTAACCACTAGGCTGCCACTCCCACCAAGACTCAAATACATACCCACATACAGCCCTAACAATATCTTGATTAAATCCCATAGCAATTACCTGAGAATCTGCACTTGCTTTCTTGCCATCTTCAAGCCACTTTCTCTGGAGCTTTTCATCTAAGACTATGAATACTTAACTGTTTGAAACATTTAATATCTGCATTTTTAACATAGCTTTCATTCGTTTGATTTTATTTAGTTTTTTTACTGCGTTTTCTTTCTGTTCTTTTAATTTCCTGAAAGCGCTTTGGATTCCATTTTGTACAAGTGGTGAAGCATCAAAGAACTTGTCTTGGCTTGCTAAGCACACATTTGAAAAAAAAGGAAGAAGGGCTTTTAAATAAATAAAGCAGATTAACATAAAAGTTTTAGAACGGTGTCAACCTCAACTCTATTGAAAAATAACAGACTGTTCCTGAAAGTCTGTGGCAGGAAGCCAACTTTAAGAAAAATGTTCTATCTTCAAATCATGATTCATGATTCTTTTGAAACTTGCTATATGACATGTATCCACCTATTAATATAGCTTATTATTGGCCCAGACTTTGTTAAAAGCCCACAATCATGATGACATTGGAGGCAATGATGAGTACCTGTAAATCCACACAGAGTAGTTCATGGCTGTGAGGCGGCACGGAAAATAATTCATGGTTTCTAAGCAAGTTTTACAAATGAAAGTATAAAAAGAGTGGCAAGTGTTTGTATTTAACCCCTGAAAAAAAATCAAGTTTACTAATGAAGTCACCTTATAACCGAATAATTTCTGTATAAATCCAGCTGTTCAGTGTTAAATATGAACATTAATGTACAAACAGGATCATGAAAACCAACAAACACATCATCTAGGCTGGAGAAGGAGTTATGGAGACAATGGGAAGCCATCAGGAAAAATGAATACATACATGTTGCATCATAAGTCACACTCTCTAGCTTTGAAGTTACTTTTTTTTTTTTTTTTTACTTTATGGATAAATGCAAATGCAATACATGATAATATACCAAAACAATTTAATAAGTAAAGAAAAAAAAAAAAACTTACAGCAGCAATTGAAAACAAAATAGCTGAGTGTAACACAATGTACAGTTAGGCCCACCTGCAGTATAAGCAACATCTGGGTGACAGAGGGGGGAACACGGGCCCGCGGTCGAGACAAGGCGTCCTCCAACTTTACGCTCAGGACTATGGTGTTCCTGAATTTAAGCAGGGCCAGCTGTCTGACAGAGGGCTCCTTACCCTGCAAGACACGAGAGAGGTGGAGACCACAATAAGCATCGGGGGGGGGGGGGGGGGGAGGATTCACTGGAAGAGATTCTGGCAAAAGATAAAGAAGAAGGAAAATCTAAACAAGCAGATTCTTTCAGAGTTTGTGCACCTGGACTGGGTGAAAGATGGCCTGCAGCATGGAGAGAACATCACAGAAGAAGAAGTCCCAGGTCTCTGCCAGAGAGTCGAGTAACTTCTGACCTACACAGATCACACATAAAAACAAATGCCTTGCAGCTTTTATCTCCATTCAGTTTTCCCCCAGTTGGTCCTATTTCTACAACAAATATGAGTGCATTTTATTTTTAATTTATGGAATAGACCACTGAAAAAATAGTGCATGGCTGTTAAGGAGAGGGAAACCTGGGTTTCACCATAGAAAATAAAAACAGAAGAAGGATCTTTGTTGAAGACATTTGTATTTTGCAGAGTGAAACTTTTTTGAACCACATTTTCACTGCAATTCCAGCCACAGGTCTTGGTGGGGTATGCATTAACTAAAATCTGAAGGGTAACATGTTTGCACACTATTCTCAGCAATATTGCTTAAGCTCATATGCTTAGAGCTACACCAGTTAATGGCAGCTTCAGCTGAAGGTTTGGGGTTCTTTTGTACAGTAAATCTACACCGAGGTCTCAAATATTTAGCAGCCTTTCATAAACTCCAGCTTGCTTGTCTCTGCTGAAGAAAGCATCCCAACAACATGATGCTGCCATCACCGTGCTATCAAAACGACAACTTGGTCCTACCTTCATAGTATCTTATTTTGTCCCGAAGAATGACCATTCCTTTTGTCAGAAGCTGATTCTGTAAAAAGTCAACAGCAGTAACAATTCAAATGTAATAAATGCTGCCCTTGTTGGTTAATTTGTAGATTAATGTTTTTCTTATGAAACAAATGAAAAAAGAATGAAAAGTACGTTACCTGAAGATATTCTGAGAAGAAAGATCCCAGCTCAGTTTTCAAAAGGTGCCTGGGAAAAAAAACCCACATATGATTATCATCTAAACATAAACAGATCATAAATAGACTGAATAATGAAGGATGAAGACGTAACTGGGATCCACTAATTGAATAACGTAACTGCTATATTTCCCAGTAAAACACAACAACATCCAGGAAAACAGGCTGTTTTCCTGGATATTATGCTTCGATCCGTCTGTGTGGTCACAGAAAATGGGCCTACGTCGTTGTGGCTTTTTCCCGGAAATATTTTCAGTCGGCTAACGCGGAGGCAGATAGACGCGATGGGTCTGCCTCGGAGAGATAATGAGATATCTGGCCTGACCACATAGCTCCTCAGTCCCACTCATACATCACACACAAACAAGGTCATTCAGAAGAAAACATTCAGTCAGCAGCAGAAGTTGGACAGATAGTAATTACACAGATTAGAGAAAATGACATCAAGATTTGAAAATAAAGCAGCTGGAACTTTAATGTGGAGGAAATATGGGTCTTCTGTTGATTTCTGAACCTACCGGACGCCTTCATTCAGGGTGTAGAGTTCATTATCGGCCAATCCCTTCTTCTGGAAGACTGCTATGACAGCGTTGTGAATGCTGCAACACAAATATAAAATGCAGATCACTGAGGCTCTAAATCCAGCATATTATCTGTCTAGCCTGTATCAGGTATACCTGTTCCAGGTAGCATTGGCGCCAGCCCTCTTCTGCTTCTCCCCTCTGTCCTCTGGTGAACTTTTCTCACTCTTACCGAGCTCACTGAGGCTTGGAGAGCTCATCAACTTCAGCCGGTGCAGAGTCCTCATGAGGGAAATATTAAGAGAGGACAGAGGACAGACGAGAAAGAAGGTCAGGCAATGAGCCGACATATGCAAAGGAAACACGAGGAGACGACTGCAGGGTAGAGGAGAGATCAATCGGAGGGAGAAAAAAGGAAAAACAAAGAGCAGTCGGTGACAGAGGAGGAGGCGAGAACTAGGACAGAGTGGTGCATGGTGAGACTCAGGCAACAAGCTAAGAGCAGGATGGGTGGAGCCCAGCAGGGAGGTGAAGCATAGCGTCGCTGCACTGCCGGATCTCTCAGAACAGCGAAAAAAAACAATAGCACACGCACCGCTGGGGGCATTCTCTTCCTCCCTTCCCGCCTCCCTGTCAGTACAATACTGCCATTGATGCAAACGAATATTTATGCAGAGCACAGATGCCAGAAGAGCTGCAGGGTAAGCAGACCTAAAGCAGTTGCTGTGCTTGTGACTGCACTGAGGGGAAGAGAAGGAAGCTGTATGGTTTATTGACAACAGCGGAAAAAAGGGACAGGAAGCAGCGGCACGATGCAAGACAATGACGAAGGTTTTCCTGCTTCACATCCACAGCTGGATGCAGCGTTGCAAATTTGTTTAATCAAACCTTTCTGGGTTTGGATGTTCTCTCAGAGGAAAATGAGTCATAAATGCAATGCAAATATCCATATTAATGATTTTCTTTTTTTCCCCATCTCATTCATGTAAGCTCACAGCAACTCGTGTGTTTTCTCATAAACCGTACCTCACAAAAGTGAAGTTATTCTGGGAAAAAACTTAAAGTAGCTCTTTATACAGCCTGACCTATGCAATCTAGAGCCCATTAAAAAAAATACTGTCTGACTACACAAAGTAGACAAAAATGTCTGAAAAACAACAAACGAATCATGCCCTGATCTAAAGTAATTCAAGAAAATATGAGAAACTACGTCACTAACATCTATTAGCGAGTGTTAGCCTAGTGGGTTAGAGCAGTGTGCAAGTACCCGGTTCAATCCCCACAGCCGGCACTCTGGGTCCCTGAGCAAAATCCTTAACCCAATATTGCTCCCTGGGCGCCGCACAATGGCCACCCACTGCTCCCCAAAGGGATGGGTTACATGCAGAGAGTGAATTTTCCCATTGTGGGACAATAAAGGCATTTACATTTAGTCTGGGAAGAGTTATAAAGCCATATCCAATTAACCATGCTGAGAACCATTACCCAAGAATGGAGAAAACATGGAATAGTGACAAATCTTCTGAAAAGGAGTTAGGCAACCAAAATTACTCCACGGTCGGCAGCATCAAAAAAATCATCCAGTCAGAGAATAATAAAAAAAAGAGAACAACATCTAGTGCATTGCAGCTATCAGAGTTCAGGTCAGGGCAGAGTTCATGACTCAAACACGAGAAAAACATTGGGTAAAAACTGCACCAATGGAACACTTCCAAACCGTCCTGCCTCATATCTGCAACCAAAACCTCAGAAGGTAAACAACATCCTTATGATCCCCAAGACTGTTTGAAAGGAAGAGGACATTCTGGGAGGTGAGCATCCTGTTGCAACTGCTTTAGAACAAAAAGAACTTGAGAAATAGCATCATATTTACAATAAAACATAGTAATAAGATGGACTGGGAATGCTGTGCTTCTTCAGGACATTAACTTCTGGATGTAATCGATGAAACCATGAAGTCTGTTCTAAAGAATCCTGAAGGAGACTAGCTGGCCATAGGTGTGGGACCTTAAACTCAGATACCCTTGGCATCTGCAGCACACACAAAAAAAACTAAACTCACTTTTTGCAGTATTCTAATCTTTTTTGGGATTCATTTCTAATTGGGATCCTGAAGTACAGCCTTTAACACATTATTGGTATTCAGAACCAACAAAAAGAGTCGAAATTAAAAAGATCCAGGCTGAATTTCTTCCACAGCAAAAAGAGTAATTTCAAATTTTATTAAATTTTTTAAATGCCCAATTGCTGTCCAAGTCTACTGCAACCAGTGTTTTTTTAGAGAGCTTTTTTGTACTTTTTCGGGGTATTTGTACTGTATTAAAATCTCTTTTATGATTAGAAACATTTAAGTTTTACAAATATACAACACTGTAGAAGAGTAAGGGGAAGAATAATTATTTTTTTCCAGCAGTGTAGTAAATAGAGATTTTCTTAGTCTAACTTCATCTCAGTTTATATAACATTTCTTGGAGGAAGACAGCTGAAATTTGTTAGAGAACATGCTGGAATATGGTGGTGGCTTCACCAAGCAGGAAGAATACAGGGCATCCTAGAATAAAACCTGCTAGAAGCTGCAAAGCCTTGAGAATGTATGCAGACATCTAGAATATTATATATCTACATTAAACATAATATTATCACCACCTATTAGACCAACCATAGTATTATAGAGTTTTTAAATAATTTGTTAGACATATAAATAGCATTTTTATTGAATAGATTAAAAATATCTGCATAAAAACTACAGGAGAGTAATCAGACCCTTAGAGAAAAAGTGGAACAGAGTGTCCACTAGGGTGAGAACTGCCACAAATATCTCTTTATCTGCTTGGCTGAGTCATTGCTCTTCCTCTCTATATGGGACATCCCCTTCAGGACACATGGTTCTCTCAATCCAAATTTATTTCAGGAGCCCAATGTAGCCTGATTGTAATTTTTAGCCCCTACTTTTGTGCTGTTGTTAAAAAAATGTCCTCTATAGAAGATTACGATTGAAAACATTAAGAGGGGAAAAAAAATTATTGGATATTTTAAAATAACTGGTGATTAAAAAAAAAGCCCTCTGAAAAAATAAAAAGGACTCGATGAGTTCAAACCTGCACAACCCGAAAATAACAGACACTCATTTACTCCCACGTAAACACAACCACAAAAAAACATGAAAAGCAAGACCAGAAAACTGCTGAGGTGAACACAAGAACCAGGTCACTCAAGCATCCCCAACATGAGACCATTATCACCAGACAAGTGTGTGTTGCAAGAAAATGTTCAACTGTATAAGGAAACCATCCAGGACTGGAAAACAATCTTCATTCTAATAAATATTTCATGCATTTCCTCCCTGCATGGTGCAAAACGTTCACACTGAGCCTTACCTCCTGAATGGATGTTCGGTGCTGCTGCTATCCATGTCCGGGCTCGGGGGTGGGACCGAGAAGGTGCTGAAGTTGAGGGAAAGGGGTCTGGGGGAGGACCGGGAGGCTTGCCTCCGCCGGAGTCCGTCAAGCATCTGAAAAGAGAGGAAGATGGAGGGAAAATGGTGGAAAGAAAGTGGTTGTTAAGGTTGCAGGAAAGAAACTAAAGCAAACAAGCAGAATGGTTTGAAGTGAGACTCTTAGATGCATAACCGTTCTTCTACAAATATGAGTTTCTATGAGAGGTGAAGCTTGAATCTGGAACTTTTATACATTTGTTGCTTTAGTTGTTTTATTTGCATTGGGACCCTTTTTAACCGATCTTTCCTCAGTTTGAAGGGTTGTTCACATAATTTTTGTCCTTCGTAGCTGACCGCTCACACTCTTTCTGAACACTGTGAAAATAATCTCCCTCGAAATGAATATTTTCGTTTTCACACCTCATATCAGAGCTCTTCAGGCCCACCATACGGGCCAGCTGGGCTGATTTGCTCTACAAAAAAGAAGACATTTAGTGTCAAAATAGGCCGGCCAGTAACCTGATGTTTGTACGACCTTTAACCATTTGGGTTATTTGTGTTTCGATGCAGTGGTGTGTCAGTGTGCATGTTTGAGGGTCACAGTCCAGGCAAGTTTCTGGTTTCTTTAAATGTGTTTTTTAACTTAGGTTGTTACTGATATATGTTGTGAATTTAATTATAATGGACACATTTAGAATAAATCTACAAAAAAAATCCCAGTTACATTAAAAATTTATTTTTAAATAATGTATGATGGCAAAATATGAACCAACAGAAACATAAACGTCTGTTAACTATCATCCTGATTAACTATCAGGAGCTGCGCAATTGAATAACTATAGGATATAAGCTATATAAAGCGATTGTTACTTAAAAGGGAACAGGAGGAAGAAACATTTGACTTTGTTCTTTTCTTTCTTTATTTTTGTTGCTTTTACTGAAGTTGTTCTTTCAGTTTCCTTGCTTTCAGTTAGTGTTCATCAGATTGTTTGGCAATCCTCCATCTGGCTTTACTGGAATAACGCATTACATCAGCTTACAAAAAGGGAACCTGCATGTGTGTACATGCATGGCTGAGTAAATGGGTGAACGGTTCCTGTAAAGGTTTTTTTTTACAGTTAACACTGCATCTGGGTGACTCCCCCTGTAGCTCCTCTCACAGCACAGCACCACCCGCTGGTCAGAGGGAGGAATTACAGTCTGGCATGTCACTTTATAAGACAAAGGATTTTCAGGGGGGGGGGGAATAAATAGTTGTTAAAAAAGAGAGAGATGTTGATTATGCATGTCTGTGCTGTAAAGTTCTGATGATTTGATATGATCAAAATCGGATCTGAGTGAGAAAAAAAACATTGTCTGGCTGAAATGCCAAGCCACGCCAGTCTGGACATTTCTGCTTTTGTTCTCCCCTCCTCCTTGTCTGCGACTACAGTCTTACATCCGATCGATGCTGCTTTTTAATTTCTAATCGACCCTCATTCCTTTTCCCCCTCCAACTAATTGATTTACAGCCTTTCCCCTACATTAGATGGCGATTCGATCGGAGCAGACGCGCAATCAACAGTCCACGTTTCCCCTGCAAAGGGAGTAACGCACAGCCAGCCGTGCGTACGTGGAGCTTTTCAAATCATTTTTTCTCTTTCTTTACCTGTAGGGAGAAAAACGTTACAGTATAGGAAAGCGCACGATTATAAACACAGTTTAAAAGGTTATAAGAGGTAAAAACAAAGTTGGCGTGTGTGAAATGCGCCTCCCCCCTGCAGCCCTGAGCTCACCGTTCCTGATCCCGTCGTGCGGCTCCCGGTGGGATGAAGCGGTCATACAGGGAGCTCCGGCCGTCCGGGGATCATCAGCGGCAGGCTCCTCTGGCTTCTCCACAGCCCTGGGAACGGGCGTTAGGCTGCAGGATGAAGGGTCCGACCGACCTCTCATTCATGGAGGCAGGAACCGCCGCTCGCTCTCTGGTTTCGGCTCGCCCCCGCTTTGTTTTGATGAGATGAAAAAAAAAAAAAAAAAGCAGGAACCTAAGCGGCTACGAGCATGCACATGAACGCGCGTTGTGGTTAATATTATTATCGTAATGGCTGTTTGCAAGCGAGAAAAAACCGCATGGTTTCAATAGAAGCGTACTAGATCAGAAGGCTGCTTGTTACGTGTGGCAAAGTTTGATGTGATACTGCAAAAAAACAAAGAGCAGAGGGGAAGCATAACAGGACGAAATAGAAATATTTAATTGTGTTAAAGTGGGGACAGGGGCGGAGCTAGAAGGGGGGCCAGGGGTGGCCATGGCCACTATGCCTGGTTATCCATTCAAGAAAGACACCAGAGTTCCTTTAACTGATGTTTGCCGTGGTCTTGTAGCTTGCTTTACACCACATGTACACCGTAGAACTGATGAAACATACAGAGCATAAACACAATATTAGTTTACTTGCTGCAACTTATACAAAAATATACAATTTAAGAAGCTAAAATAATAAACATACCACTTTGGCCTGCTAGTGGACAAACCGTAAGCTAGAAAACACTTGTCTTTCTTCTTAATTGCTCTTGCAGAGTCTGTTTGCATCACTTATTGCCTAGCTTGACGAAAAACCGGAAGCAAGTCATCGTATTCTTAAACTTAACTTATCAAATTTTCACCGTCATAAGTTACTCAAAAAATAGATCTCTTTAGAATAAAAAGAAAAACGGAGCACTTAAAAATAAAAGCTTTTGTAATTAACTTCCTTATGGCATCAGATGCTACAGCTACTTCTGGTGGTGAAAACGTGAACTACAATTACCACCATTGCCACCCTTAGCCAATCATTGGCCACCCCTAACATTTTTTCAATCTAAAGCCAGGCGTACACTGTGCGATTTTCGAAGCGATTTTCCAGTCGTGCAAGAATCTTTCAATCGGCCCGACTTTCAGCCTGATCGTGCATCATGAGTCGTGTAATGTACAGGGGGTTACGAGGGGCGATCAGCCTCTCACGACTACCTACCGATCAGGAATCGTGAGGTCAGGAAAAAAATCAAACATGTCGCTCAGGGCACATGCACAAACAGGGATTCTTTTTTTTATTCTTCCTCTCTAATTTAAACACAGCAGCATTGCATGGGTGCAATGAGTGAAATGCAGTTCTGTCTGTAAAATTGACAGACCGTAGCAGCCACGTTTGCTCAGCCATGTCTTTTTTTCAAATATATTGTTGCCTTTTTCTTTTTAGGGCTTTCAGCACAATATTGCACAAATTGCCAAGGCAGCGCGATTCACCATAGTGAGCTTTATATTCCTATATTCCTCTTCTATTTGTTTAGCTTCCGGATAGACGAGTCAGAGCAGCTCCATCTCACTGCGGAGCTGAGTCCAACGTGTGTTTTAGTTATGCAGTGTGAGCAGGTAGATCGCATGAGAGCGTCGGGCCGGGCATAAATAGCGAGCTGTGAGCTCACACTGTACGACTAAACCCTGCGTTTAGTCATACAGTGTTAGCAGTAGCTGCGTGCAGCAATTGAAAAAATCGCAGTGTACGCCCAGCTTAATACAGATGGTAGCAGTAGTAATACTCTCAAGGGGAATGTTTAAACTTATTAAACATTTAAATTTTTCATATATTAACCATTACTTTATAGCAGAAACACTGTGGTTAATCAGGCACATCAATATACTAACATTAAAGATGATAAATACAGAATTCACGCTCTTTTCAGAACCAAATTTTGTGTTATTTGGGGTAAAGAGAAAATTATGTCTCTGTAAGTCATCCAAGAGTCTTCAGTGAAATTATAGATAAATGAACTACTTTAATAATACCTTAAAAAATATTTTGATGTGAATATTATTTAAATATCAATTTTTTGCTGAATGATTATTGATAAAAGCAGGTAATGAAGCATCAACGTTAAGTGTTAATTCACATAATAGTTTTCAAAAACATATCAGGAATAATCAGATGTGTATGGGTGATTTAAGAAATGTTTTACAAAGTCTGCATGTATAGTTTTGCATCAGAACACCAGCATATTTAGAAATGCAAATAAGCTACAGATGTAAAAGGCATGTTTGTAGAGTGGTGCAAGAGAAAGAACTCCATAATCCTGTCTTGTTTAGAAATATGTGTAGAGCATGATAAAATAAATCCAGTACCTCCTTTGCACCAGGCAGAGGGTTTTAATGGTTTGCCAATGCAAGCTGCCGCACATCTAAGGACTAAAAAAATGGCCCACATGACAACACCTTTCAATAAACTCTGGCCCTTCCCCCATCCAAGAAGATAAATGATTAATATTATGGGACATATTATAACCACGTAGTGGCACAAATGAAAGAAATTTATGAAAAACTGACATAGGCCCAGTGTTGCATATACAGTTTTGTAGATATAATTTGACCTCTTGCATGTATACCAATGTATAGGTAAATTTTTCATATTGCTTTGAATTATTTTCTTGCTTTTGATAATGTCTTCATATTTTATGAGTTTACACTTTAAGATCCCTTTATAATGCTTTATATTTTGTACGTATAAATGGTATTATAAGGCACTCTATTTAAGGACCAGAATCTAAAAAAAAAAAAAAAAAACTTTATAAAAATTTATTGTTTATTTTTTGGCTAATTCGTAGTCCTTTTTGTGTTTTTTTTTTTTTTTGTTTAGAAAGAGGAGGGAGATTTCAATCCAAAACTTCAAAGTCACCTCGAATTTGTTAATTCAAAACTCCTCAAGCTTAACTTTAACTGTGTCCATTTAATTTTTATAATCAAAATTCCCTAGATAACAATAATTAAGAAATGTATAATTTTCAGTCATTTTAATAACGTGTTATTTTTTATTAATATGCAAAAATAAAAGTCCCTCTGGTTGGATTGTGGACACTTTCCTTTCCAGCAGTCATGAAGGCAACACGAATAAGCTCCTCCCACCGGTAGTACGAGCGGGAAGTTCACACAGCGGCTTCCGTAGAGCTGTAAATTAGTAAAATATTTTCGCGTTTCTTCATCATAAAAATAGTTTGGAAGAGCTTAAACAGGTGAGTTCACGCTTTAAAGGTTTATAGTTGTTCTTAACCGGGTTTGAACGTGGTTAGAAGCCATATTAGGTTACTTCTTTCTTCGCTTCTCTACCAATTATGTATCTTTCATACTTGTTTAATAAGCTGTTAAACAGCAGAAAGTGGTTCTATGCAGTGTTTGCTGTTTTTAGACTCAGTACTGAGGAGGTCGAAAGGATTCGACAAGAAAGATAAATAAATATTTGCTTTCATAAGTATTTTAATCAGTGAAAAAATGATATAAAAAAAGGTTTAAAAAATGATTATGCATATTAGATTATAATTATATATTAAAAAGTAACATAAAGGAACTGGACTGAGCTAAGAGCTTTGATTCAAGATGATTTTTGTGATATACCAGTTATTTAATGGCACCTATAAACCATAAAATCACTAAAAGTACCCAGGATGGTGATTTTAACATATACTGAGCTCAACTTATAGTTTATTTTGTTTCATGTTTAATTATGTACGTGTTTTATAAACTACTGACAGATTTGTATTTGTTTATTTCCAGTTTTACTGTAATTATGACATGTAAGCACTTCTAGTAATTAACTTTTTTAGGACCACAGCCATGAGCACGGAGGAGAAAGATGTCCCTGCATCATCCAGGTGCTTTGGACAGGTAAGTGTAGAGAAGATCCTTCTTTATTAAGTCAAGTAACTTTTATGTTAAACGGTTTTATCGCATTGTTGTAGAAAAATAATGCTGTTTGGTTGAACAGAAACTTGGTTTGATTGAAGTTCTGTGTTTGTATATTTATTCCAAAAAATCTCTGCTCAGTTATGAAGAGGAGTGACTTCAATTAATATTTTTAAGCTATTTAAAGTTAGTTTGCTGTCCTTAAAAGGCTGGAAAATGTATTTTATTTCCAACAAAAAAAAAAAAAAAAAGATTTTCCCTTTAGACAGCAATCTAATTTTACCTAAAAGTATGAAGTTTGTTTTTCAGAAACTGAAAATGATGTGCTGCATCACAACTTGACTTTTTACATTTTACCCCTCAGTAGTTCAGTTTTTCTTTTTTTTTTTTACGGTTGACTGAATTCATTATAAAACCCTATTGAAATGACTTAATGTTATTGATCTCTGCCCCTGGACAGTGCACCTACACAGCTGAGGAGTATCAGGCGGTTCAAAAAGCGCTGCAACAGAGGCTGGGACCCGAGTACATTAGTACCAGAATGGCTGGAGGAGGACAAAAGGTAAAATCAGTTGTATCAAACCATGAGTTTGGATCTGTTTAAGCTCTCATGTGCACGCTGAAAATCTTTTTCTCTGGGCTTACATGAACCTTTCTCCTACTTTGGGCAGGTTTGTTACATTGAAGGCCATCGCGTCATTAGCCTGGCCAATGAGATGTTTGGGTACAACGGATGGTCTCACTCCATCTCCCAGCAAAATGTTGGTAAGAAGACCCATGGAGTCCACATCACATCCAAAAGGCGTTTATTATATGTCCTTTTAACAAGGCTGATTTTGTCATTATAACAATCAACATTCAGTTAAATGGAAAAATGTTTAAAGTATTATAATAGGATGTTTGATTGAAAATAAATGTTCCTTTATTTTCAGACTTTGTGGATCTCATCAATGGGAAGTTTTACGTTGGAGTCAGTGCGTTTGTCAAAGTGCAGCTGAAGGTTTGGACAATTACTCCTTACTTTTCATCTTTTATCAGAGTCATAAAATCTTCATTACTGCTTTTGAAATTTTCACATTTTGTTACATTAGAACCAATGTATACTTTTAGATTTCTTCTATATATGTGAAACGCTTTTTTCTTGTTGTTTTTTTTTATTATTCTTTAGAGAATGAAATCTGAAAAATCTTGTGCTTTTTGCCCCCCTTGACTCTGAAACCATAAAATAAACTGCACTGCACCTAACTGTCCTCTCATTAAGTAAGCTATACTGAATTAAACTGTCCTATGATACATTGAATCTAAATGTAAATTCCTTTTTTAGCCTCTAAGGGTTGTCAGAACATTAGCGGACAAAAAACATCATTAAGGAACACAGCATGGTTTGTTTGTGTAACTCACCCCAAATATATCATTTTTATTTAAAGTGTAGAAATTGCTCTATAAAGCTCTGTTTTATTATCTAAAATTAGAATGACAGATAACCTTTATCAAATATGCCAGAACTGGTGTGTTTTTTTTAAAGAGCAAAGGGCAAATACTGGTGAGGCTATGTGGCAAAAGAATCTTCAGATTTTTATTTGTTCAAATGTTAAAAACTAAGCATCGCTTTTCTCTCGCTTTATCAACTATTTTATATGAGATCCCAATGAAAGATTTTTCTATTTTCTGGTTAACATGGCAAAATGTAAGTGGTGTAAAAACTCCTGCATCACCTTGGAAAAATCTCCAGTTATCCCATCCAGCTCATATGTGAGCAACAGAAATATATAAAAGTAAAACCTTTTTTTTTTCAGGACGGGTCGTATCATGAGGATGTGGGGTACGGAGTAAGCGAGGGTCTGAAGTCCAAAGCTCTGTCTCTGGAAAAGGCGAGAAAGGAGGCTGTTACAGATGGGATGAAGAGAGCATTGAAGTAAAGGAACTTAGTCTGTTTTTTTGTTTTGTTTTTTTAAACATATGCTTGAATTAGAAAAAGAAAAATCAAAATCTTTATTTGTCACATGGAGATGTTTTGGAAATGTTCTTGGAAACTGCATCCTGGATAAAGAGTACCTCCTTGCCATTAACAAGATTCCCAAACAGGTGAGACGCTTAAGAAAACCTGAAGCTTTGTGAGAATGTTGTAGTAAAACTGATCCCTGCCTCTTCTACTCAGCCTCGACCTGAGCTGAACCCAGCACAGACTAAACGCTCTGAGGGCCAGCCGTCTATAGAAAAAGCACGGTTCTGCCGTCTGGTCAGAGATCAAAATCCAACGAGTGTAGCAGAACCTGCCAGGATACCCCTGGAACCCCGAGTCTTCAATCAGAACCCCTCAGAGGTCCACGCCTCCAGTACAGCTGGCTCTGCACCCAACATAAAGAGTGAAAACATCCACTCCAAGTAAACCCTCCACCCGCACACTCTCTCATCCTTGCAGCGACTCTTCCCCACTGATTGTTACCGTCTACCCCCTAAGATCCACTGAGGACGCAGCGCCCGACCCAAACACAGACCCCAAGCATCTGAGAAAGCTCCGGCAGCAGCAGCTGCAGGAGAAGTTCAGGAGGGAAATGGAGGCCAAGAGGCTGCAGCAGCAACAGGAAGAATCCAAGTCTAAGGAGGTGGAGGTTGCAATCGGACGGAGATCGTCCGCAGGTAGGTTTGAGGGTCCAGTTCTAACTAAAGTGTGGAGGAAAATGTATAGATTTAGTTCACACATTTAATCTGATGTTTGCCTATGCTACAGTTAGAATTGGTTAAACACATTTGTTAGTTTGCCTAACTTATCTAAAACTGTACAATATAAAGGTAAATCGCTTTAATATTCATGCTAAATAAATGCATTATTAAATACCTTTTATGTGAACACATTGGTTGGACGAGCTGGATCACATTGGAGCAGAAGTGCTATGATGCTATGACGGAACACCAAGCATGTTATTAAAAAAAAAAAGACACTTTTCCTTTCTTTCAAATTTTTTTTTTTAAAGCTACAGTGTGTAATAATTACAGGGATATACTGTCAGAAATGTAATATATTATACATAACTATGTTATTTATCATCATCTACGAGCTCAGCCTCTTAACCTTAATATTTGCGTTGCCTTAGAATTCGTTATTTATAATTACATAGGAGCGGGTCTCGCAGCCATGGAGACATCTTTGCGCTACGGCAGCGCAGAGCCAACAAACTAGCGATTGCGAGATCGCCCATTACGCTCGAAAGTAGCTACGGCAAGTTGAGAGAGATGAACTGAGACGGTACTGAACACACAGACTAATGAAATACTATCTGTAAAATTATCTATGTAAACAAACCTCATCACTTGAGAAGGTAGGTGATGCGGACGTCGTGGAAGACATTTTGTCCCGTAACCCTCGCCGTACTGTTGGGGGGGAGAATCGGTCGGGGGGAGATGTTCATGTTGCTGCGGTCTGCAGTCTGGACGTTAGCTGTCGCTGAAAATTACACACTGTAGCTTTAAGTGTTAAGTCTTTTTTTTTTTTTTTTTTTTTTTATTTAAAGAGCATCCGAATTAAAGATGATTAAGAAAATCACTAATGATTCTTAAACGATGGCATGTGTCTCCTTTTTTTCTGCTGGGTCTCTGCTCCTCAGGTGAGGAGCTCAGATCTGCGTTTGTGGACAACACATCTGAAAACAAGTCAAGCAACAGGAACTCATGCTTAGCAGGTATGTCTGTTTAACTAACTAACCAGGGCGTGATTAAAACAAATGTCACAGAACAGTAGTTTAAGCTGATTAAATTCCCTTTGTCACGGGAACATTGATGAGCAACTATTTTCTTTAATCTTGCTTTGCGATTGAATGTGGGGTCATGATCAAAGTAGTTCTGTATGAATGTAAAATTACATCCTTTAAAATGATCCAGATCTTAATCATTAAAACATGGAGGGCAATAAAAGGGAACCCTTTCCTGAAACTCAACTGAATCATGAAGTACTTCAAAACAAACGTGTGTCAATGGTTTGTGTTTTTGTCCACAGATGATCCTGAGCTTTGGGATTTCACCTTGGATGGGATGGAGGAGCTGGACGCCCCCACAGGAACCAGGCCCAGAACACCGGGGAACCATCAAATGCTGACGCGCAGTAAGACGCCTCAGAGAGCTTCAGAGCGAAGCCATGAGGCGCCGTCCACCAGCAGAACGCACCCTCACTACAGACCCCAACACCACAGCAACCACCAACAGGGCAGACCTGGTGAGATTTTCTCACTATTTGAGCCTCTAAATGTATATTTTTTTTAAATATTTTTTTGATCAACTTTTACTTCTCTGAATTTCAGGTGAAGCCCTCAGTCCATATCGACAAGGACAGCAGCTGAAGAAACGCAGGCTGGATGCATGAGTCTACTCTGCTTTTAAATCACCGCACTTTGTTTATATAATACAGTTTGAATTTACTACGTTTGCAATTTTGTACAAAGTTCAAATAAAATGTGTTTAAATCTTTAAAATGAATGAGGAGATGACAGAAAACCTTGTATTTGATATTTTTATTTGTTTTTACATTTTGTACAATGTGGAAAAACGTACACAAAACAGACACAAAATCACAGGAGGTCAGAAGGGATCAGATGAGTATAACTGTGTGCCGAGGGCCATAAACACGACTGTACGGAGGGGGTCTGGTAACTGTAATAGCACATGGACGTTAACCTTTGTGAGCTTGTGCTGTGCATTGGTCGGATTGAAAATGGTTCTTCTTTAGAGGAATTAACACCCAGTGAAGTTAGCATGCTGATAATCTGAGGCAGAAGTTGCGCCTGTGATATCGACAACCCGTCAGGAAAGCAAATAAAGAAAAATACTTATTCCAATATCAAAAAACGTTGAAGTTAACACTTCATCAGCATGCAAATGTTTCCAACACCCCTCGTTCCCTATAAAACTTTAAACATTGCATATTCTGCATTGCAGGAAGTCATTTTTTTCTCTAGAGAAGTTAAACAATTTGATCTACAAGCAGGCGAAAGAGTCACAACAACAGCATGGCACTGCTGCAAGGTGGTGAGACAGCAGCTGAGTCAGCAGGACTTTTGAACCTTTGAACAGCCCACTCTCCACTTAAAACACGTGCTTCTATAAAGTTTAGTAATAAATTCACAGAAAAAAAAAAATGTCAGCATAAATTCATGTTCCCACAAGGCAAGTAGAAATACACAGCTGATTACACAACCAACACGAATGTAAATGTAGAGAGAAGAATGCACTGTTTAACTGTGCTCTTGGTTCTGCATCTGTTTCAGCGTTGCATGCTCTGAACTGACTGGCTGTTTACTTCAGGTACTGGTTGAGCTTGCAGGGACTGGGTGAGTCTGGAACTGATCGTTAGTGAGGATGCAAGGCACTAAAGTGTTCCTCGTGTTTTACGGGTAAAGAGTGCACGAAGAAGTGGGTCACCACAAGCATACGTCTGTGACTGAGAATGAAGTGAAAGCGTTTTACCTCACTTTAGGATATTTACAAGAACGAAACAAAAAAACTAAATAGAAAATGAGTGCAGGGCGGTCATAGAAGAGCCTAACAAACAGCAGGTTTCACTCCTGCATGGTTGAGTAGGATATTAACTGCAACCACCCTGCAATTGCACTTTTTAATATTTCTTTACATGTTGTTTAACAACCTTTAATAATAATTACAGTGAAACAACATCAAAATCTGATGGCTGAATACAGGTCCATAAAGAACGTTTTGTTGTATTAAATATACGTTTACAAAAACAGACCACAGACAGAGAAAAAGCCCAGACATTTTGGGATGCTGGGGGTCACAGTTAAATGTTATGGGTACAGGGATCTTTGCGGTTAACCCGTTTAATTGTTTTCCATACTTTCATCAAACCTGTCCACACAACAGTCCTTAAATACTAACCCAATAATATTAATTTGGGTATGATAGGTGTAATATCAGCAAAAAAACTCAGCTGAAGTGAAAGAAGTAATTTCATGTTTGTGTGTGGGGGTTTTAAGGAGCGTTGCCTTGTCAGTTGAACTAATGGTGATCAACACCAGGACACGGTTCTCACATGTTGATGTGGATCTGGATGAAAGAAAACTTAAACCACAATGACACCAGACTCCCACAGAGACAGAAATACGTTAAACATAGCATCATAACCCAATGAATTCCTCCCTATGTACAAAGCCAATGTTTCCATGTGTTTTGGGATTAAGGTCGCGTTTATAAGGGACTGTTTATCTACTTCATTATTGCATTTTACTCAGTAGTCTCTGGGATCTACTCATACTGCAGCCCTATCGAGTTCCCTGCCTAACTTACTAAGTCTTTCTTCTAACTCTACAGAGTTATTTGACCTTCCACTCTTATTTCACACCTTTTGTACACTCACCTCGCTCTAACCTGCTTAAGCAACTTTACTTTCCATCTCCAGGTTCCTGTTCAGTCTGATGTGTAAAAGCTCCACCATCTTTAGTCCCAGCTTTGTCTATAGTCCAGATTAGTAAGGATATGTGTCACAATCCCTCCTCTTGTTCTCCCCTCAAAGGAATGATGATGTTGCAGCATCTTACTGTTCAAAAGACACCTGTGGCCGCTTTTGGTTATGCCTTTAGTGTGCGTTTCTTTTCCGCACACAGCCACCTGACTCGTCACAGCTTGCTTCCACAGCTAATGGCAGGCTAAGAGTGACGCTTTTGTGCTGTGGAGGTGTATTGCACTCTCCCACCAGTTGTCGGACACACTCAAAATCTACCTGAGAGGACCTGAACCACAGAGGTCGCTCTTTAACAGAAGTAATAGACAACATTAAAACGATGAAATAAAAAATGCACAATACAAACAGTGGGCAGAATGCAAGGAGAGGCTGACCCCTCTGCTCTGTGTGGCCCTTCCTTTCAGCTTAGGGTGGGGCCCAGGCTGGGCTACGTAGGCCTTGGATTGGTCCCTCCATGGCTGACAGACGTCTGGTTGGTCTGAGGTGTTCCCGTTTGGTAGCCTTGATGCATGGAGACCGATACTGTTGTAGGGGGCTGGTACTGCTTTAGTGGCTGTGTGGGGTTATGCATGCTGACCTGGCAGGTGCCTGTGGGGCCTGCCCACTGAGAAGCACCGTAGGGGGCTGAGGCATATCCAAAGCCCTGCACAACTGGACCCAGGGAGCCTTTACGAGGACCCAGAGGGGCTGTGGGATTGCCTGGGTTGGGAAGATGCGTGCTGGTGGTTGTACAGTTGGCGGGTGCGTGATGCGCAGAACCTAGGTGTCCTGGAGCCGAAAATTTACGGCCCATATTCGCTGGAGGGATAATCTGCAGAAATCAAAAGGGAAAAATTTTGAAATACAGCCAAAAGACACATTTAAACGAATAGCTCAGGAGATTAGCAGTCAATATCTTAGTGGAAAACTCTCAAGGCTTCTCCATTCAGCATTTATATAGATTATCTGGTAGTGCAGGTTGGAGCTGTAGGCCAGTCAGATTAAAGCAGACCTCGATATCATTAAATATCAGAGTAATTTATGAATTGGATCTGGTGCTTTAAAAAGAAGCCAATGAATTTTACACAGGAAATGAAAGTAACAAGCGGTTCATTACTGCAGGTGTTCCAATGAGAACCATGTCCAAACCTAAGTGGCTTACAGGTTCCTGAAATGCTATTCACCCTATAACCTTTTTAGAGCGGGGTTATTTAAAGACTGACTTCAGCCTCCAGGACCAACTAATGTAGATTAATTACAGAGGAGGACATTAAAATATTGATTTACTCCAGATGACATGAACAACTTTTAAATATCCTAAACCGATTCTTAAATAGAAAACCTTATTCTCTAACAATATTCTTAAGGCTTACATCAAGTCCAACAGGTGTGGGTGTTCCAGTTTTAGGCCCTTTCTTTGCATCTCTGGCAAAGTTATCCACAAGTTGGTGCATGTGATCAGAGAAGGTGCTCTTGGTCTTCTGGGTCTGGGATGCAGAGGAAGCAGGGATGTTTTGGCAGAGGCTTGATCCGTTTGAGGAGCTGGTTTCACATGATCCTGGAAATATATTGAAAATGGGTGAGCTGTGAAGTACATTTGGGTTACCAAATGCTGAGGTTAAACATACCAGTAGAACCACTGAGGCTTGGCAGGGATGGAGAGGATGTGAGTGGTTGTAGAGATGTTGTGCTAGCTGCACTTTCCGAGGCTCCAGCTGCAGAGGGCATACTCTGCTTCAGAGGAGACTCTGATCCATGACTCTGACCTGAGGATTAAGCACAGCAAGGCCTAAACATTAAGTAAACACACAAATACATCACTGTGGTTTTAATATAAACAGAAACAATCAGTATTCTGTCCTAACCTGAATGAATGGGACTGGGCTGTCCACTACTGCGAGATCTGTGGCTTTTGCGCCTACGCCGACCTCCACCTAGAGCCTGAGCAGGGGAGACAACATAAGGAGGGGGAGCTTTTCCCATCTTGGAGTACAGGGCCTCTATTTCTTCTTTCTGACGGCTCTGTAAGTTACGAATCTCTATCATGTGTCTGCAAAAGAAAAAGGCGGATACTGGTTTGTTCTTTGAATGTTTGAAACTGATGTGATGTAAAACTTGACGCTTGGTGAATATTTTTGACACACTTTTCTCTGAGGCGACTTATTTCTTTCTGAAGGGCTTCATCGTCTGTTTCAGAGTCCGCCTCATTATCACTGCTGTTAGGGCGTTGTTGGTTTTGAGGGTCAGAGGTTGAGGATGATGGTCCATTCAGCTTATTACAGCGCTCTAGTGAACTAGATCTTGCTGCTGGAGCTTTGGTCACTGTAAAAAAAAAAATAATACAGCGATGCAGGGTTAGAGATAATATGGATGTCATGAATTTAATAAGAAAATTATTTTTCTTTTTGTCTTTAGAGGTTTGAAGATGGACTTGAATTTGTCAACCAGAGACTTGATATTTGGGAAAAACTTGACCTCTCTGTAACATTCACTAGTAATGGAGATTAATCTAATTGATTTTTGGCCTTTCAGATATTTTTTTAGCTGTATGTTCGTAAATAAAAACATAAAATAAAAAATTGAAAGCAAGGTTTTTTTGTAGGGTTTGTTTTGCAGCTTTTTATTTAGATGTAGACGTCTGGTGCCAACTATAATTTGATATCTGGAGTTATCGATGTGAAGGTTTCGAACCTCAGAACACTGTACCAACTGTTAAGCATGGCAGAGGTAGAATAATTCTGTGGGCCCATTTTATCTACCACTTATTAAATCCTGATTGGTTGAGCCCTTTTCATCATGAGCCCACAAACTTGTGTTCAAATATTTGCCAGGACATTGCTGAAGGCTACAAAAAGCATCAGATTTCTCTAAAACTTGCTGAGATGGCCCAACATTATTTCAAATCTCTGCATCAAATTCTTACCCTTTAAACATTAAGTTATTTTGTTGTTCAATGGGACAAATAAAAAATGAACAAGTTTTATGTTCTGTTTTGAGTGGCTGTAGGTAAATTAGACACCGGAACATCAGGGTGTCAGAACATTGAGGATGGTTGAATATTTTTTATCAAAGCCAGCTTTTGGAGCTTTGTTTAAAACCTCCTCTTACCTGTGACTACTAATGGCCCCACTGTAGAGCCGGCACTTGTTTTAGATGAGGCATGGTCGCTCTTGGACACTTGAAAGCGTCCAACATTGAAGGTCTGACTAGCGGAACCGGCAGAGACAGTGGGAGCTCCATCAGCTTCACTGGAGTCTTTAGGACGAGGGGATGAACGGTGGAGCGTATTCTCTGGGCTTGAAGGTGTGGAGGAGGACGAGGATGAGGAGGAAGTAGAGGATGGTGTGAGGGATGGAGAAGATATGGCTTTTGGTGGATCTGGAGGAAAGCTGGATGGACCAGAGACCTGCACAACACCAGATAGTTTATGAGCTTTGTAAGAGTTTAGCTGTGTTCACCAAATCTGATTTGCTTTCAGATCCAAAGAGAAACTTACAATAAAACGACCAACTTTGAAATCTGTTCCTGTGGGCTTGACGTCTTCACCGCCCTGACCGTTTTCAGGACTCTGAGCTCTCTTTAACTGGGTATCTGAAATCCCCTGGGGCTGCTGTGACTGTTGGTTTACACAAAGACAACACAAATGTAAGAAAATAAAAGCAGACAGCAAACAGCATACTGCCACTTTTTACATTTTGAAGCATGGAATGTCCAACACATGGCCCAGATCATAATGTCCATAAAAATGTAAATCTTACAAGCTAGACTATGACTGGCTGAAGGGTGACCTTTGAGAAGTGTTCTACAATACCTATTCGATTTTCCTATAAAAAAGTCTCATCGTTTTGAAGTATCGCACTAGCTTAATATAACTTTAAGAATAAAACATCTCCATTGATGAGGTGTAATATAACAGCTGAAGCTGATTGAGCAGCAGGTTCTAGACCAGTTACATTGGAAATATAATAAATAAATATATATATATATATATACATTTAATAATAATAAAATAGTTCTCCTAGCTACAAAAAAGGATTTTGTGTAAAAATATTAATATATTATCTTATCATTTAACATTTATTTATTTGATAAGAGACCATGGTAAGATGGCCTTCTACTATGGAGTAATATACTGTGTGCACAGGAGCTATATTTGTTGCTTACATTGATGAATTTGATGTTTGTTATGTATTGATTATCCAACTTCAAGTATGCAGCCCAGTAATTGATCTAATGTGTACAATTGCTAGTTTACACACATATATACAAAGATACTCATCAACGGCTCAATAGACCTTGTTTTTTTTTTATATACAAAAATATGAAAAAGCAAAAAGTGGAGTGTAGAGTTTCACCACAGGGGATGCTGCTGGCGACCGTGACTCTTATTTAAGTCATCTGAATGAGAAGCAAACACTACAAGAACTAAACTATTTGCACTTGGCTGCTATGAATTCTAAGGCAAAAATAGAAATACACAAACTTTAAAAAAAGCTCATGTTAACATTTTAAAACCCTACTCAACTTCTGCTGGAAGTAGACAGAACTAGGATTTACTTTAACTCAGAACTGGTAGGAGTAGTCGACCAATGTACCATCATGTTCTGGTGAGGAATGGTTATACCCGCTAAGGAGCAACTGTGGATTACCTCATTTCTAGAAGTTGGACTGCCAAAAAACTCACCTGTTTAGGTCCAGGAAACGGATGTACAGGTTCAGAGGGAGGCGTAGTGGTTTGATCCAGATCAGGAGGTAAAGTCTAAAATAGTAAAAAAAAAAAAGGAATAATGTCAAAATTTAATGAAGGAAACTGGATTTATCTTTCAGTTTTGAAGTCACAGACCTGTGCCCTAGGCTTTGATGTATGGGGCTGAACATGTCCCCCTGGGGTAGTTGAGCTCTGAGCACTTTGTATGGCAGGAGTTAGAGAAAGGTTACATGGAGGAACCAGGGCATTCCCAGGAGGTGGAGAAGACGTTCCAGTGGGAGGAGAGCAATTCCCTGTCGCCGAACTGTGATCCACTGTCATAGAGGCCGGGAGTGGGTCTTTGAAGAGCGAACGGAGCTTCATGTCTAGGGTTTGGATGTCATCCCTGCCGATCGTCTTAGACTGGACCTCTGCTCCCTCAGACTCCGGGGGGTGTGACTGGGCCTGGGTCTGAGTGGGTACTGCAGTGGGAGGTGGGTGCTGAGAATGGTTGGATGTAACGGGACTAATAAAGGGGGGCCGCTCTGAAACAGAGACAGAAGGAGCTCCAGCAGACACACTGCTTGGCTGTGACCCTGCTACGGCAGGTATGGACGTCTGAGTTGATGGAGGAGAAACCGTGGTGGATGAAACAGGGAGGCTGGTTGACGGCGGCTGCTGGGAAGGAGCCATTTCATGGGAGGACTGTGGTGATGGACTAGAATCGTTATTCACAGTTTGGGATGGAACAGATGTTGGTGGAGGTGAAACCGTTTCAGCTGAATAAGGAGGTGACACTGCTGCATTAGATGTGACAGAAGCAGAGGTGGAGGCCGCCACCTCGGGAGGAGATTGGACTTTGTTAGAAACATCAGTGGACGGAACTGGGGTTGGCTCCTGCTCAGCTGGAGTTGAATCAATGGTGCTGCTTCTTTCCATTTGAGCCTGTTTGACTTGGTTGAAAGCGTGGCGAAGTGTCACAGTTGGCGCAGACAGCGAAAGACCCAATGGAGCTACAGGAAAAAAGAGCCTGTTTACCATCTGAAATCATAAACCAACATAAAACAGGGGAGATAAATGAACTTTCTTACCACAGGAAGGGTCGTCTCCAAAAGACACATTACCAGAAGCAGCTCCAAAGAACTGCTGTTTAAGACGAGATTCTGGGACTGGGCTCACTATGAATCTTCGTCCTGTTGAATGAACCACCTGAGTTGTGGTGCTGGGGGATATGCCTAATCAAAAAAAAAAAAAACATTCTCAGCTTTTACTACATCACAACTCATCTCCATAACAGGCCATTGAAGAGAGAATGACACTTCTACATCAGTGTGAGCTAAAGCTATGTTCTCATCACTGTCACAGAACTATTGGGGTGCAGAACGTCATCAGAGCCTAATATTTATGTTGAAAATACTTTTATCTGGCAGTCAGTCAGAAAAAATGTTGAGACCCTTCTGCTGCTCCCTCCAACTTGCCATAGACTTGGCACTAAATGTTCTTCCTAACACAATCTGAATTCATATAACCAAAGATTGATTAAAAAAACTTTCCTTACAGCTGCCATTACCATTACTTAATTAAAATGTTAGTGACTTTTATTACCAATACCAGCATCATTATGTTCCACAACTACACACTTAGCTTAAAAAAAATGTTTATAATACCAGCAAAACTGAGACTGGATCAGAAAGAAGTGATTCTACATCTTGAGAATTGGAATTGAATCCTGAAACGTTAATCAAAACCCAAAAACATCAGGCCCTTATATTTATATCTTTGCTCCAGCCTTACATGAAATTCTAAATGCAAAGGGCAAATGAATTATATGTTTATATAAAGAAGTACTTTTAATAGATGAAACTGAGCAAAAATTAAACACACCAATTAACTTAGGTTGAATTTGTTTGTTTACCTGGTACCATGGGAACAGTCAGCTCAGGATTTTGTTGATTACTCATCTGTGAAGTGACACAGAATGTATTCAGAAACATCAGATTCAGCAAACAGGAGTGAAATCTGATCATTCTTAGTATTAAAGATGTACCTGTGGGAAGCCATCTTTAATTCCGGCTCCCTTCTGATCAGCCATTTCTATGACCTCGCGGACCTGATCAATGAACGACTCCCGCTCGCTCTCCAAAATGAACTCACTCTCAACCTTAACAAAAAGTTTTTAAAAAGTTTACCATTGTGGGTCACCCTTTTCTTTTTAATAATTTCTGGCTAAAAAAAAAAAACAGATGCAAAGTCTGAACATGTCTCCCTGATAAAGGACATTTATAACTACATCAAATTTACCATGATATGTGCAATCTCCTCTGGGTTATCTCCATCAAGATCAAACCTGAAGGTTACCATCTTCCTGTTGTGCGTTTCCAGTTGGCACTCTGCGACTCGGTCTCCCACATTAGAAATCTGCAAAGGATTTCAGGTGAAACGGTTTGGTAACAGAAAAATGAGTGAGCAGAAACAAATGAGAAAAAAAGCAAGAAAACTCCCTACATTGAGAACATTAAGCTTGGCCTTCCCAGCCTTCTCATGGCGGGAGCGACTACGGACAGATCGCCTCTGATACCGCTTCATTGAGCGCCCCTCATGGCGACCCCCAGATGTAGACCCTCCATCGGTTCCATCGCTTAGACCCGAGGCATCTGACAGGCAGCTAGAAGAGACAAGTTTAGGCACAATGAGCAAACTGTCTGATAATGATGTGCTTGGATGATGTGTGAATGGAGGATATGATGATGGTAAAAGGCGACAACAACCAGCTTTACATTGGCTGAAGAGACTATTGTTTGCATTTGAACATATTTTTTTTTTACAGATGTTTTTCTTTATATTTAACAGACAGGAAAAACTGCAAAAATAACCCAACATTCCCAACAAAACAATTGTTTTCTTTTTTTATAAGAAACAAGAAATAAAAAAATCTATACCTCTCTCCAGGTGGTGGCACCAGAGCAGAGGATGCTGCCATCTGATCTACTGGTGTTGAGAGGGGAACAGCCACAGGACCCTAGAATACACACAAAAAGTAAGGATTAAATTTGGTATAATACCCATGTTACCACATTGATTCGAGATGAAAATTTACTTGGTAAACTCCAATGAGTCATTACTGACATTCAGCAAATGAACGGACATTCACAGTGAAACCTTACAGACAAACCTTTCAGGTAAAAAATATCCAGGTTTCCTACTTGAGAAAAATCAGACTTTTTTTTTTTTACTAAAACTATAACAATGCTTAAAAAAAAACATATCCTCTTATCCATCTTCCTCTCTGTCAATTGTACTTTCTTGCACTGGCTTTTATTTTTACTCTAGTTTTTAGTTTTACTCTAAAAATTTTCCCAAATGCCAAAACGAAGATAAAAACTCTGAAGAATAATTTTAAAATTTAGTCCATAGCCTTTGGAGGAGCTTCCCTGAGATTAGCGGCAAGTTTTCTCCAGAAAACTGCTATTAGATTTATATTAAGAATTGCTTTTAATTCTCCCCCCCCCCATGTCTTTTCTAATTATTTTTCAATAATGTTTTCCTGATTTACATAAAGGAATGGAAATATTTTATTGTTAAATCTGTTTTGATCTAAAACATGATAAATTAGAAAGAACCTTACCAATATTACTTCTGAAAGTATCACATTTTTCTAACTATTTATAAATTGCTATATACTTATAAAGATACCCGTTTCCTTAATATACTTCATGAAATAAAATCTCATTTAATCTGACAAATCTGAATAACTTTAGCTGGAACTCTATTTGGCCTTCATTTGATGACATTTGAAATCTGTTTTTGATTATCCAATCAGAAACAAAACAATAAAGGGAACAAGCAAACAGCATTTAGGTTCAGCAGTAACCTAAATAACACACAATAACCTAAACACAGCAGTAACCTAAATAACACACAATAATCTTAAAAAAAAGAAGCATATTTTATTTTCTTTAAGACATCTGGAAAAGACCAGAGAGCAGTTTACTTTCAGAGAACCGGTTAGGGATCAATCGAGTTTCAGCAGATGCAATTATTCATCAGGCAAACATCCTTGATCTTTCGATCCGAATCGATACCACTGGATAACAAGTGTTAAATTTTCAGTTTTGAGACAGAATTGACCAGATTTCCTCTCTCTCAGTTAAAATTACACTCCTAACGCAGAGGATGCAAATTCTGACAACACCTTGTCGAAATCACCCACCGCTTATACATCTATAGCAGTCCTTCCATATCACCAGAGTGCAGACTCTCCCATCGTGAAAAAACAAATCTTTTCTGCAAAACTTTGCAGTTTGATTTGCTCCATGTCTGAGCCATGTTCTATATTTGATATATTCCAGCTACATTTGACTAAAGACATTCTTCTGACATGATCGTTCTGACCTTCTGTCAGCTTGGAAGGTAGGTCGTCATGACAACAGACTAGCACAAGCCTATCACGAAAGCTTGCATGAAGCGCACCAGACAACGCAGTTAACATTTTTTTTATGTCTTTGTCTTTACTAATTGGTGTATTAAATGAGATTTCTATTTGTTGCGAAATGTTTATGATTACAATATCAAGCATTTACAAGCACTAGACTAAAAAAAATGTATGATTTTACAAGCCTTAAAAAACTAAATTAAATTCAAGCGTTTCAAGCACTGTATGAACCCTCTCAAAAGATACACTTTCTTGAATTTTATCCTTTTAAGTTTTTAACCAAGCTCTGAAGTTTCCTCGATACCAACCACCAGATGGAGCTGTGTAGCAAAATGAAAATTAATAGGGTACAGAAGGAGATGACATGTTTCTACTTTGAGGCAGAAACCAGGTACCATTATCCAACACACTTTATTTACCTCCAACTACTGAGCTCATTTACGTTTATAGGTTACCTTATTCTACTTCAGGCTTTTAGGGGTTATATCAGTTTAAAGCAGATATGTTACTCCAGCGAAGTCTTAAGAAAAACATGGGTACAGAATCCATCTGTCCGTTTCAAGTATTATTTCAAATAAAAGCCTTTTAGATTAAATGTTATAATATATCAATGTTTTCAGAAGATCTTTTAGTGGGTTGAGGTTTAGAGAAAGGACTAAACTACACATACAGAACAACAAAAAACAACCTCCCAAATCTTTCTCTGAATGCACAATTTTTTCCCCGCACTCAAGCATAGCTCTAATGGTGGAGGATTTTTAAAACTGCGATCTCAGGATACTAGAGATATAAAACTCTATGCACAGCAGCTGTTCTGTCTGTTTGCCTGCAGCAAACGTGGAACTGGGGGAGAACACCTATGAATGTTTTGATCTTGCTGGCTAAATAAAAGATCAAATTTTCAAAGACACATTAGATCCAAAATAAGAAGCGCCTGCCGCTTGCTTCCAAATAAACATACCCTAGCTTAAAACAGACCTAGCTGCCTTAAACAGGCGGCCTCAGCTCCCCCAGTAAATCAGGGCTGACTGCCTGAGGAAGGCTGCATTGAAACCACAGCTGTTTGTGAATCAAGTGTGCACCACCTGAATGGACACAAACCCAGCTTCTAGACCGGCAGCAGCTGCCACTCAACTCTACGGCCATATCTGACATCCTCCTGCTTTTGTTGACAGGGAAACCTGGTTTAGGCTATGGCAACTTAATATGGTTAATTTTGCTGTGTTTTCTTTTTTCAGTGAGCCTGAAACTTTAAATGTTTTCGTAATCTTGATAAATGTTGAAGACTCCCTTTACTGAAAATGCTCTTATTCCATTTCATTGCCTTTTTACCTCACCTTCTCTCACTAACCTGGTTAAAATAATTATATGAAAAATAAGAAGAAGGCCCTCATTTTCTTCCAAAAACCAAGGGTGGTCTTATGACTGCAGGTCCATACAGCTCTTACAAAGATGGTTGACTGTGTCTCCAGTATATCAGCTGCTAAAGCTCGCTCTGTCTGAGCTGTGATTAGACGTAGCAAATCGGAAACACTCAAACACAATCAATATTTGTATTAATGGTTCTTAAAAGGTACACGTGGGACTTAGAGCAGTTGCTTAACAGCGCAGCAGCCTTGACTTTAGCAGCGACTATAGCTTGGGGTATATCATCATACTTGCAATCACAAAAGTTAAATTGTGAGTGTACTTTATGCTTTAAGAAGTTTATCATTTATTATATCATTTAAAACTTCTTAAAAGTCCACTGTCTTAAAGCTTTATGTCTAAAACATTGTCTTAGTAAAACATTATTCCTTTCTCCTTTGAATTGAGAGCATTTTTTTCAGCTCGTGGCAAATGTTCTTAATTTATTGTAAAGGTATTTTAACCCTACCATTCCTCAAGACAAACTCTGGCTCTTGAAAATACACATTCATTCTCAACAGTGATGTCACAGGATGTTTTATTCTTTTTCGTATTGTATTAGTTCTCCTTTTTCACACTTTAGCTACCGTATTTTCACGACTATAAGGCGCACATAAACGTCTTTTTTTCCCCTCAAAATGTGCGGTGCGCCCTTTGGTGCGGTGCGCCCTATGTGTGTTGTAACTGCGACTTTTGAGACCACCTCATTGAGGAGATGATGAAAGAGTGGCTGAATGTAAGGAGACCAGGTGTTTTTTTTCCACTCATCACCATCGCTGTTAATATGTAACTCCATGCGTGCCCATCTCACAGCTGATGAGAAAAACATGATGAAACAAATTAATGCTGTGCTCGCTGTTATTCAACCGCTTGACATCGGTGTGAACTGGACGCAGCAGAAGCAGCGAGTTTTACATGCAAAGTCAATGGTTGACGCGCGTTTTAAGCAGCAGGCGCAGCGCGTCCGGAGCGTTCCACGCTCTGGAGAAAAAATCTGATGCGCCGCCAACGCGCTGCAGCTCGAGATGGAAAAATTGAAGTTTTGCTGCTGGACGCGCCGCATCAACCAATCAGAGAAGCTGATCTGGGAGCTGACAGCGAGACAGACACATCGCTCTGATGACATATGGTATTAAGGCAAATGAAAAGGGCTGGATGGATGAGGAGATGATGAAAGCGTGGCTGAGGCAGGTGTATGTAAGGAGACCGGGTGTTTTTTTTCCACGAATCACCAACCGGCCACTGATGACCGCTGCGAACGGCGTGGGAGCGATGGATGACAGACGGAGACCACAGTTTCACGAAAAGTGGAAGGCAGCGCCGGGCAAGTTACGCCACCGTTTGCGGATGGATTGTAGATGCTTGGACTAACATGTCTGCTGGCTCTGTTGTTCGAGCTTTCGCAAAAGCCGGCATTATTTCTGAGGAGCCGCGCTGCACGGAAAGTGACTGACAGCGAAGAATGGGAAATTGGCATGTCTGATTTAGCGCAGCTGTTTAATTCAGAAACAGAGGATGACTTTGATGGGTTTGATTAATACTTTGTAATAAATGCATGAATAAAGCACAATCATACTCAGTCTTGCTCCCGCTCTATTTTTCTACCTGAAAACTTAATTCAACAGCAGCCTCTGGGCGGGTCTCCTCCGGGTTCACAGCGGCGGCTGGCAGGTGTTTTTCATCTAAATAATCTAAATCTTGCAGCTATATTTGCTGTGATCAGTGGGAATAAAGTAGTTTTAATATGTTTTTAAGTGAGAAAGTCCACCTGAAAACTTCATAATTGCAGTCAGTTCATCCAGATTATCTATTTCTGTCGGAGGCGCTCAGACTCCCACATTCCAGCTGTGCGCCGACAGTAGAAATCCCTTCATCAGCAGCCTCTAGGCCGGTAGCCTCCAGGTTCACCGCGGCTGCTGGCAGGTATTTTTCATCTAAATAATTTAAACTGCAGGCACCAGGATACCGGTAATAAAAGCGAACATATTCCGTCGGCAGGTTTCAGGATTTTAAGTTAATTTAGGAGTAATGACAGTGCTCTTTCATCAGCGATGTGTCTGTCTCACGGCCAGCTCCCAGGTTTGATTAATACTTTGTAATAAATACATGAATAAAGCACAGTCATACTGAGTTTTGCTCCCGCTGTATTTTTAAATACGCAGTAGAGGTATTTAAACGTGGTAGAGGACATGTACCTGTATATAAAAAAACGCGCCCTATAGTCCGGTGCGCCTTATGTGTGTGTTAAATACAGAAATGGCACACATAACTGAGACTGCGCCTTTTTGTACGGTGCGCCTTATGGTCATGAAAATACGGTAGTAGTTTAGTTGAATCTTGCCTAGTGAAATGTTTTTTTCTAGCTGGAAGCAAGTATTTTTTTTCAAAAGATCTTGTATTTGGATGGAAGTCATTTGTGTTTATTCAGTATGTTTGCGTAGAGCTTGTTGGTTGAGATTGCCTGAGCATGAATTCGCTCCATCTATTGTTCTACAACACCACACCTTACCAAGCAGGTATTTATAAAGCAATACCTGTCAGCGACTGAGGGCTGTTTAGCAATAAATTACTGATAATCAGGTGATGTAACCACTTGGTAATTTTGATTAAAATGAATGCCTTCATCAATAATTAACTTTGGGTAAGTATTTATAGTTTCAAAATAAGGTGAAGATAAAAAAAAAAACTTAATGTGCTGCATTTAAAAACACACCTAATAGATTGAAATTATAATATAACCAAACTATGTATATAAATGTAAAATATTATCTCCGGAACAGGTATTTCTGCCTTAACAATGAATACTATCTGGAGCCATGCCAAGTGGGAGTAAAAGAAATGCTTGATGATAAACTAATTCTACCATCCACACAAGTTTGCTTAGTGCTATGTAAAGTACCTGCAAAACAGAGAGGCACGAGGCCTGATAGAGGAAGTATAGATGCTCTGCGTTGATTGGTGGAGACATGATAGGAGGACTTGGATTGCACCGCCAATGCTAAGAGTCATGCAAGAATAAGGAGCATGCAGAAGGAAAGAGTGGAAGAGAAGCGATGGCACAAACACAATAAAAGGCGTCCGTGTTCATGAAAAGCAAAGAAATAAAATAATCAAAACAATAGTAGACAGAAAAACTTTCATGCAGAATTAGAAGAAAATTATTTATACCTCATCTATACTACAATATCTGACCTAATACAGCATATGACTGCTGGTTTCTCTACATAATTCATAATAAAAGATTTAATTGGCAACTTAAAGCTACAGTGTGTAATTTTCAGCGACATCTAGCGGTCAGACTGCAGACTGCAGCAACATGAACGTCTCCCCCCCACCGCTTCTCCCCCCCAACAGTACGGCGAGCGTTACGGGACAAAATGTCTTCCACGACGTCCGCATCACCTACCTTCTCAAGTGATGAGGTTTGTTTACATAGATAATTTTACAGATAGTATTTCATTAGTCTGTGTAGGGTATAGATTTCATGTAGACTTAAGATAATAAATATACCCGTTATTTTTTCTACGTCGTTGTGACGTTTTGGTGAGCTGCTTTGCATGGTGATATAAACAGACGAAGTAATTGTAGTCATTAGTTTAACAGCGAGATTGTGTTCGCTGGAAGAATATATATTCCCCGTTTACAGAGTCCAAGTCTTGTTTGTGGCACGGGGGTTACAAGGCAAGGAAGAGGGAAAGGAAGAGGGCAGAGAGGCCGGGGTGAGCGTGCAGCTGGGGCCAGGCGAGAGAGGGGAGCCAGCGGGGTGAGAGCAGAGGAGGAAAGGCTTGAAGATCTCCAAAGGAGCCGGAGAGAAGTAACCGAGGTATATATCCAGAAAATTATTTTACAGAAAATTACTGAATCATTACCTGTGAAACGTCAGGGACGTTGCTGAATAAGTATACTGGAGAGTAACAGCATCATCACGCAGCATGTTATTGTTTTAGACAGGTCTGAGCATCCTGTACTCCAAAAACTGCAGTGATATTAGACAATTGTGTGTATAGGATTAATTACCTGTCCAAGAGAAAACTGGCAACTTGAGCGTCACTTTGAAAACCTTTTTCCTCCATCAGTGACTTCCATCGTGTAAATGCCGTGCCAATGTTGATCCGTGTTTTTTGTCGTTTCTTGTCACTCTTGCGTTTATTCTCGTCGTGTTTCCGCTTCTTAGATGACGGGGGTTCGGTGTCCGCCGCTTTTCGTTGTGATACAGAGTAGGCATGATCCTCCATTCGTCTGATGTTTGGCCACACAGTGCCAAACAGTTTGCAAAGTCACTCACGCCTGCCGCCTTGTTTACCTTTCTTGTTACCGAGGCGCAGTATACCTGCTTCTTCTTCTTCTTTGGTTTCAGGCAGACTAAACGCTTCTCAGGCATAATACTGCCATCTACTGTTCAGTACCGTCTCAGTTCATCTCTCTCAACTTGCCGTAGTTATTTTCGAGCGTCATGGGAGATCTCGCAATCGCTAGTTTGTTGCCTCTGCGCTGCCGTAGCGCAAAGATGTCAGCCTCCATGGCTGCGAGACCCGCTCCTATGTAATTATAAATAACGAATTCTAAGGCAACGCAAATGTTATGGTTAAAAGGCTGAGCTCATAGGTGATGATAAATAACATAGTTATGTATAATATATTAAATTTCTGAATTTATATGCCTGTAATTATTACACACTGTAGCTTTAAGAAAAAATTGGTGCATTTGGAACCAAAATCAAATTAAAATACAAGTTTCTCTCGGGCAATTATCAGAATATGGCTAACATGTACACATTTTAAAAATATGTTGGAGTCAGACATAAAAAATAAAAATAAAGTAAAGCAAAATGGTTGTCACCTGTGGCTGCTGGGCTCCACTCTGAGCTCGGGACAGCGAGCTGCTGCTCTCCAACTGCTGCTGGAGGGGAAAGAGACAGAAGATTGGGGCATCAGGACATGCTGTCAGGGAATGTACACAAATAATCAGAAGTATACACAGAAAACCAGAAACAGAAAGCACAGCTGGACAGGGGAGCTGTTAAAACACAGACAGGAAGAATGCAGCTCTACAGGTATTTAGGGCTCTTGGTGGAGGTATGGCTGCTCAATCATCTGCAGTACATCAGTAACCTCTGTGCTCTTTTAAAGTCACATGCACTTACCTGTCGGATAACATAGCAACACGAGTCATCTATCATTCATCCATCTGCAGTCAGGTTATTATCAGGCAAAAAAAACTAAATCTGTTGTTTATCCATTTTTTTCTTCACACATTGTATGCTACAACCAAGTAGAGAGCTATAGGGGTCTACAGATTTTTACAGAAATGTTCTTTTAGTTTCCCTTAACATGTTTTCAATAGCCTAGGGAAGTATCAAAAGGCTGTAGCAGGACAAATGTACATTTATCTACCTGAGGAGGAGTCGATGATTGGTAGTAACCTCCATACTATAAAAAAACATAAAAACATACAAAGTAAGAGCAGCGGACTAAATAGGGAAGTCAGATTCAAGGAAGGGGAGAGAAACCAGACAGGAAAGCTCTGATCCTGCCAGCTCTAGCCATACCTCAACCAGTAAATGTGGAGTTTGTCAACTAACCACCACTTAAAGGATAAACCGTGCACTATAAATGGTTGAGTTAGGATATTCACTGTGTTCAGAAACATTTCTAAAAGCTACAATCTTATGTAAAACAGATTTGACCTGAGTGTAAATCTGTGAAATAAAGAGCAGTTTCAGATTTCACAATTATTCTCTGAAGACAATGTGGAACACAATATCATACCTGCTGAGGTGCAACTGAAGTCGACTGGTTAGCAGATGAACTAGGAGCTACTTCTGATGGACCGACCTGCACCTGGGGTAGAAAAAGACACCATGTGAGAAATGGACGAAGATAAAAACTAATAAATTAAGTTCTTTTAGTAAAAACGCAAAGGATAGTGATTATTACAGGCTCAACACAAACATGGCTCGTTGGTTTTGTCATTCATGTCACTAAGTTTAACTGTGTGAATAAGGAAAAGGAACCAGAGTGACTTTGGGTTTACCCCACATAATTGCTTAACAAGGCTGATGCAGCACTGGAGAATTTTGAAAGCACAAAAGAGAACACATGAATGAATCAAACATAAACTGAAAGCGGGAAATACAAATCCATTTAAATCACAGTTTAGTAGAGGTTAGGTGAGGTGTATGTAAGAATAATAATCCTCTTTGTAAATTAACTGCCCATAACTACTTTCAATTCTACAGTCCAAAAAGTGGCAAGCTGGTCTTTAGATGAACAACTGCATTGTATCTAATTCCCAACATATTTCCTATCACTTTATTAGACTAGGACAATCATAACCGATAGTTTCCTTTTTATGTGTAACCTTTGGATGAATGTCCTACAGATAAGATGAAAATAACTGCCTGCAACTCCCCTAAAGATGAGGAAAGGGTTTCAACAGAAGCTTCTTTCTTTTATCTTCTCACCGTAGACAGCTGTTGCTTTGCTTCATTTTGCATCTGTGGACACGATGCCTGTGGTTGAAGTTCCTGATTTGGAGTACTGTAAGACACATTAGGCTGAGGTGGCAGGGTCTCAGGAAGCGTTGAGCCACCAGGTAGCTTGTCACCCATGTCCCGAGCTGAAAAAGAAGACAACACAGTGAACTCTTCAATCAGCAATACTAAGAAATCTTTTTAGCTCTTTGGATTAAGTTTTTTATTTAAGTTATACCTCCGACAGACGGCTGTACATGTTGGTCAGACTCAGACTCTTCAGACTCAGGCTGAAGGCTGCTGACACTGGAAACCTGGACTTGCCCACCTGACTGGGGAACATAAATTGCCTGGGGGACCCCCTGGGACATCCCAGTAGGATTACTGGATTGAGCCGTACTGAAGTTGGGGCTCTGAATGCTCTGTTGAGATGCTGGTTGGCTGCTTATCTGTGAGCTGTGTTGGCTAGGTTGAGGTGCAACATGGGATGGGTGCTGTGCTGCTGGCTGGGACTGAGACATCTCCAACCCGGCCTGCTGGCCTACTTGTTGTGGCGGCAGTGAGTGGCTCTGCACTTCCTCTTCAAGACGTTTCTTCTCCTGATCTTCTCTGACCTTTAAGAGAAATATAAGAAAAAAAGGAAAATAAATCAGTATGTTAATGTACTTCAGATTCCTCATTAATACTGATGGAAACAAAATGCATTTGCCTTCACAGTCCTAGTGCTCATACCCTAAGTCCTAGTGTTCATACCCTAAAGCAGTATGAACACTCTTCTAACCCAATATACTCAAATACAGACACTTCTACAACAATTCAAGAGAATGTAAGGTGAAAACAGCACAAGCTTAGACACACCTGCTGCCGCTGCGCCCTCTTGCGAGAGATCAGAGAGACCCTGTCCTTTATGGCCTTTGCTATGGTCTTGTGGTCTCCTTCACAAACATAACCAGATTCAACCTGCAGCAGAACGATGAGACATCTTTTTCCGTGAAAATGTTAAAACATACTCTCAATCAGCAGCCTTTTCACACATAGATCCCAGTACATCAGTGAAAGGCTTGTCTTTAACTGTAGTCAAGCGTTCGTAATGCTGCCTTTATTTCCCACACACACAGAGGTAGTAAAACAATGACAAGTGTTGAGTAACAAAGACAGCCTTGAAAGGGAATATGTGTGAAAGGCTGTTCAGAGCATTAAAATCAATTCAATTTACCATTTCCTGAGCCACAACGTCAGGGACATCTTTGTTGAGGTCAAAAGAAAACTCTATAGCTTCGTTGTCTTTGTACTTCCCCTTTAGTTTCTTTATATCCTCAATTCTCAGCCAGAGCTTTATGGCCTCCATCACCCCATCATCCTCTTCAGCCAACTCCACACGCACACCTGTGTCCTCTTGGAAGAAGGCATGGTTTAGGAGATCTTTGATAGAATACCTGATTGGACAAAACCATGGAGGAGGTGAATGTTATAAAACAAGAAAAAAAAAGAAAAACAAAAGGATTTAGCATAACTTTAAGGGCTTTCTAAAGTTAAGAGACCTCTCATCCTTGTTTTGACGAATGCATCCCTCAATGATTTCCTTCACCTCAGGAATGGCCACCTTGTCGAAGCTGCCTGGCTTCACCCCCTACAGAAAACACAGATCTCTAAATGAAAACCATTTTCAATGGCTGGGATTTTTCTTATCTTAATTTTTCTTCGCTTCTCGTTTAAGTTTTTTCCCAATTAAACCACAATTTTTTTGTTTTTTCCAGTTTAACACCACAAAAACTTCCAAACATTTTAAGCTAATTTCCCCTAAACAATGTTAAATAGGTTTTCTTCTGAAGTATTTCCAATAGCCTACAGAGGAAAAAAAAAATTATTTTGCACTTGAGTTAAAAAAAAAAAAAAAAAAAAAAGCCTCAAAGATATGGGACCTTTGCTTATTTTCAACATAAATACAGCTTAACCTCCAAAGATAGAATTACCCAGAAGACATTGAGGAGGAGGGTGGCGGTAAAAACAAGGGAGCACAGCTAAGACATTAAAAATATTAAAGTAAAAAAAAAAGAAAAGAAAAGGAAAGGAAAGAAAAAGAGAAACTGGTTTAACCTCCTTATACGAGAAAATGTAAATGACTCATAAGCTACTTGACATTCCAGAGGTTTGCCAACACAACCGGTATGAATAAGACTAAAACTATGCAGATCTCTTATGAAGGATGCCATGAAAAATTTCAGCTTGTAAAAAAAAAAAACTTGACTGCTATTTTAACCATCTAGTAAGCTTCACCTTTGTCATATAGTCAACCTAAAGAGGAAGCATCAACAGAAAACAAAAGAAAAAGCCAAGTTAATGGAAGGGGTTTTCTTGTGGGGGAAAAAAGAGCAAATTTTCCTCCTGGAAGATACCAGTCAAATTAAACTGAATATGAATTTTAAAAATGTGTGGGTGGGAATTACAAATTACTCCAGAAATACAAGTCTTGAGCAAACAGAGGAGGAGGTGAAGGCATGGCAGAGACGTGACATATAGTGCCGATAAGAAGACTTACGCTGGTAACTCTGCGGTAGATCTGTGCAGCGTTCTGGCACTCTGAGTACGGGTACTCGGAGGTGGCCATCTCCAGCATGCACATTCCAAAGGCATAAACATCCACTGACTCGTCGTACTTCTCCTCATACATCTCAGGCGCCATGAACTCAGGGGTACCTTAAATCAAAACAACTATTCAGAACTCTCGAACTCCCTTACTGATTGTGTGGGCATCTCATAACCCATTGCTCCTCTGCTCCTCTAACCCATGGGGTTGAGGAAGAGGAGGATGAGAAGAATGATGGGTCTGCTGACATCTCCTGGAGTAGAATCTGTGAGGTGAAAGTTGGAGGAGAGAAATAAAAAAAGGGGAGAGGAAAGTAAAAAAAAAAGAGAGAAAACAAAAAAGGGGGGAAGCTGAGCTCAGTTAGACTGTATAGAGGATTGCACGTGTTTGTCTGTGTAAGACCTTGACGTCAAGGAATATACATGTGTGTGACTCGAGGAAGCCAGTGTGCAGAGCACACCTTTGGGCAGGAATTCATTTTCATCACTCAAAAGTTAGGTATTGTTTCAGCAACTTGCTTCATATAGCAGCATAAATATTAAATGTGGCCAATATGCCAGTTTGCTCTGTAAAGGAAATAGGACTAGCTATGGAAGTAACTTTTGTCAAAACCTTAAGTAAAAACAGTGATAAAATGACCTATTGCAGAACACTCACCTTGCGCGTTCTGACCTACCACATTCTGTTTACCGGAGGAAAAGTGTTATAATAAAGGCTGACAAAACCAGATCCCATAGCTACTTACAGAGCTGAACAGTGTGCCCTGCCCACCAGCCCTACTAAACTCAGTATTTTAGATTTAGTCGCAGGTCTGACACAGAAAAACTCATTTGGATATTTGATTGTAATGGGTTTTGATATTGATGCATATACAGCACACTTTCAAAAGACTTACCAGGCCCATAAAAGATACTTACTCAATGACCAGCAGTACCCTATTCATTCCAAACAGCAGAATGGGGCACAGCTGAGGCTAGAGCCTACATTTTAAAAGCATACTCAAGAATGTGAAAATAAAATAAAATAAATAGGGGAGAAAAACCAAAGACAAAGTTCTGAGAGAGGCAAAAGAGAGAGGTCCCTGGACAGAAAGATGGAGCAAAAACGTTCTGCGACCCTGCAATAATTTGATAGTAAGCAAGAGACACACACACTAGGGGGGGAAAAAAAAAAAAAACCTGTTGAGGGAAACCCATAGAAAGAGATGTTAAACAATATATGTACAACTGGCAAACAGACCACATATTTCCAAACCACAGGACAAAGACCAGTCTAAGACACAAATACCTAAGGCCTGAAAGAAGGCATGACAACTACTATTATATTTTATATTAATCAAAAGCAGTAGAAAACATTAGGCGCTACTTACAGTCAGTAGGTGCCTGGAAAAAAGACTTTTTCTTTTTGAACAGACATAGAACAGAGATGCTCTGTACATCAACCAAATGCGGGTCTGTAAGGAGGAAAATCTAGGTGCAAATATGCCACAGTATTTGGCCTCCATTTGAGCTGTGGTTTGTTTTAGAGACAGATGAAACACTGTGGTCTGTTTTAAACCACATTGTCAGAAAAACAGTTTTCATAAAGAAATTCTATTCAAAACTTTAGAAAAAAAATACCATCCCACATGGATCAGGAGGCTGAAGTGATCTCGGGTTCATACCTATAACACTCTTGGCGAATGATGCTCGCTTCAGCGTGGCCAGTCCCAGGTCTCCAATCTTGACAGATCCCGTTGGGCCTGTGATGAAGATGTTGTCACATTTGAGATCTCTGTGGATGATAGGAGGAGTCCGAGTGTGCAGGAAGTGGAGTCCTTTGAGGATTTGCCGACACCAGCTGCGCAGCACTTTAATTTTCATCACCTTGAACCGCTTTAGATATCTGCAAGAGAACATATCATTATTTATATAAGCCCTATTTGAAGCACTGAACAGACATGGATAGGAGGTTTTCTCTTCTTTACACTTCTTTGTAAAGGCAGATAACAGAAAATGTAATTTGAATACTTGCTCAATATTTTGAATTGTACCATAAGTGTAAATTATTTGGGTAAATCATCATACTTTGTACCATTTAATGTTCTTTTTTCCATTTAAATTTGTTAAATAAATAATCATTAGCTGATTTTTAGGAAGAGTTGAGGAAAAACACTTTAATAAAAAAAAATAAAAAAAAACATGAGCTGTATTGATTTCAATATTGGCCCTAGCTTATTTTACACAAGTCCTGTTCACACTGATAAATGGATCAAATTTCAGACTCACGTCTTGAGTGTACCAGAGGTCATCAGTTCTGTAACCAGAACAATACACTTCTTTCCTTTGGATGGTGCCTCCCAGGAGTCATAAAAGCGAACAATGTTGGGATGTTGTAGTCCCTTTAACATGCCAGCTTCCTCCTTAAAACGTTGCCGCTCTGTCTTTGACAGCTTACGGTCCTATAAACACAACAAAAAGGAAATATTTTAGGACCTTTAAAAAAGCAGCACAAGAAATCATAGCTGTACATGTAAACATCTAACAACAATTTGCCATAAAACACTGCTGATTCAATCTGCATAGATATTGTTAAATATCAGTTTTTTAAAAATGAACTGTTTTAGTGTCTTCATGCACCAAAAATGTAATTGTGTCCAGCTGTGGTCAGAGGAATGCAATTCTGCTTTCTCTGGCAAAGAAAGGGGAACTCAAAGAATGTGTGGAGGTTTCATTTATGTTCATCCAAACCAAAATATGAAGAATGCTGGATTGAGAATTATAAAAGAGCTTTCAAAGTTCCTTTATTTATCTATGGTAACAACAATTTAAAAAAAAAAGCTATCACTGCCTGAACAAAGAGACTAACACAACTAGAAGAATAATAGTTCTGGAAAAAAAATACATTTAGAAGATTGTTTGAAAGTAAAATATATAAGGATTTGTATGTTAGATTAGACAATACAGTCAAATAAATAAATCATAAAATATATAATTTAAATATGCAGTGCGGTAAATATTAAAGATAACGAAAAAAAAAAACCTTCCCTGTAGTTTGTATCCAATACCAATAAATGTTGAAAGCACAATTATTTTAAGTCGTATGGAAACAGCTGATCAGACCGTCGCATTTCTAAATTCTCCTGAGGCCTTCACTACTTTACACAAGTCAATGTGATCGGTCGTTTATCAAGGAGGCGGGATTGTTGTGGCGGAAGGTTCGCAAGCAAGTATGATTGTATGTCTGTTTTCTTGTAAGCATCTTGCTAACCAGTTAGCAACTTAGTTTTAGTAGGTTTCCAATGGGAAATTCCATTGGGACCAAGTAGCACTAAATTGGTCACTTAGAAATGACACTGTCAAGGAATGCTATGAACAGAGGAAACATGCAAGAGGAGGAAAGTTTTGCGTCAGAGGTCGTGGTTGAGTCTCCGCGTCATACATTTTTTATTTAGAGGAGGAGAGTGGGGACGAAGTTGTTGTGGAAGAAGACGCCAGGGCGGCAGAAGCTTCATTTGGTGTAGCAGGCTTATAGCCGTACATGTTTGACCCCTTGCCTCGCAACGCTGCCGGTTCTGTTAGTTCTACGCCTGCCAAAGACACAGATGTCCACCCCCCTGAACACTGGGAACTCAATGGTAAAGTAAATGATTTTTATTTCAACCATTGCGTATATTAGCTGAGGCATATGAATCAAGATGCTATGACCGAAAAAATTTGATTGTCAGATGACCATTGATATATGATTGGCCGAATTTAGGTGTACAGGCTGACGTATTATTAACCGGCCTGCATAAGATAACGAAAAGAAAAACACCCCACAGATTTTAAGACAGGATTTTCTGTTTTAAATAGAAATGTTCTGATAAAGACGATTAGACATTTAAATAGGATTTCCCTACCACTTTACAGTCTTCGAAGTTCTGTTCAATAAAAAAAAAGCTTTCACCAAGTAAAAAACCCCTTATCAAGTTTCCTGAGCAATTTGTAGCATGACCCACATTTAGTTTATGACAAGAGAGCTGTAAACCAGCTGTTCTTGAACCAACCCTATGAAACCCTGCAGCCAGAGACCTCCTGAAGTCCCTGGACACCTGGCCACCGGCTGAGCTGTCCAAGAAATTCAACCCATTTGGAATAGGATGAATAAACTTTTGGCTTCTACCAAGAAACACAAAATTTTAACCCCACAAAAGAATTACTTCACCACAAATAAATGAATAACTATCACAGCATTAACTGGGGACATGTCTGAGGTTTGATCCAAAAGAAGAAAAAATTGGGAAGCTTATGTGGGTAAAATAAATGAGGTCGCTAGACAAAGAAATACCAGGAACTAGAGTGAGGCATCGGACAACTAGGCAAACTGACCTACTTTGTAAAAAATTATCTATTTATCTAGTGGGGCCATGGCTCTCGCCCACTGCTCACCATGTCAAAACAAGAATGCAAAACATCTACAGCAGCACATGCCCTTTTCAAAGTTCCAAGGCTGTACATAACACCAACAAAAAGCAAAGAGACTGAACTTTAGATTACGCCATAAAATAATAATAAGTTCTATATATTAAGCTGGTTCTCAGTCCTGGTCCTCAAATACCACTGCTCTGCATGTTTTCAATGTCTTCCTGTTGAAGACCACCTGGTTCAAAAGGTTGCATGACCTCCTCAGCAGCAATCAAGTGCTGCAGGAGCCTGTTAATCATTTATTCACATAAATCAGATGTGTGGCAGCAAGGAGACACCTAAAACACACAGGACAGGAGCACCAGGATTAACAACCACTGCTCTTCTACAAAGGCATGCCAAAAATAATTTATTTAGATAAAAAAAAAAAGTCTATTCATCACCTTTAACTTGAGGAAACTGATAGTTAAATAATCTTATCAATTATCATTTTTACATGAGATATTCCGCAATAGCTTACTGTATTAGAAAAATATATATTTATCTTATCTTTGAACAAGTACAAAAAAATCTCAAGTGTAACAATCTGTTTCATGCGTATGGTTTGATCTGAGAGAGTAAGAACAGAACACGGTTTTCAACCTTTGAAATGTTTTTTCTGTACACATACAATCTGAAATAATTATAGTAATGATAATAATACAAATACTAAAATTATTTTCTAGAAGTGAAGCATTTTCATTCAGCTTATATAAAAAAAAAAAAACTGAACTACAAAGCAGACTGGAAAGACCAGCTTCTAGGCAAAGGCCATCATAAATAATCCAACAGCCTTAAAATAGACTGAAGAGAAAAAGGACTGTGATCGTGCAAACATGGTTGGATTGATGACGTTTTGTTCTTAATTGGTTGAAGTGAAAAAAAATCCTTAAATGTTGGTTTTACTTTTTGAAAACAGTTTGAGCGTGTAAATAAATATTGTTGTTTCCATTAGTTTGAAATACAACAGAAGCATCTTTTTCTATGCAGATAAATTGTAAGCAAAAGGCAGGCAAACACAAACCATTGCACACAATTAACAGGAAACTAATATTCTTTTAACTCTGTTAACAACAGGAATAGCATAATGAGGCCATTATGACCAATGCAAAAATAAAGTAGTTTATTTCAAGGAGCAGATAAACTGTGTTTTTGTTCCTCTATAATGTTTCTGTTCAGTTGAATGTTAAATAAAATGTTACATTTTATGTAAGACACAATGTGCTGGTTTGTATTAATCCCCACAGTCTGAAAGAGGCAAAGATAGAATTCTCCTTAAATTTAGTCTAAAGATCGTCTGGCCTTCGTGTTTTTTCGAAAAACCACTGATAATCAAAACTGTTGAGAACATAACATGAACATCAGCAGGTCCTTCTTCAACACCTGTGATTTTTTTCTGTAACCATAGGTCAAACCACCCTCACAGAAGGCCTTAGTTCGAATCCTCTCTAAAGTTAAATGACTTGCATGGTGACTCAACATAGCCTTTTGGCACTTCCTGTCATAGTCACTAGTACTGAAAAAAACCCGTTTTTAGCAACACATTTTTTCTTAAAAGCTAGGTTAGTCATTGCGGCTGTTTAGGTTTAAAAGGTCATGGCCTTCTACATATTTCAGCCAGAAGGGGACCCAGGACTCCACATAATGCTTAATCCCATCAGATCACCTTTCTGCTAAAAATGAAGGGTTAACACAGATGCTACAGAGTTAATACAGACGAATGTTCATTTAATGTCTAAGATTTGAGAAAGCCAACACTGAATTATTTGATAATTAATCATTAATTTCAAAATATTTAATGAGACATGTTTAAGGTATTAAGTCTCTTATGGTGACAAACACCAAAACTTGAAGATCTGAGAAAAATCCCCATATTTTATTACTTCCACATTGTTTCCTGAGTCAGTTGGATAGAGAGGTCACTGTCTCAGAAAAGAAATCCTGTAGTTTGCTTAACCTCTAAACTATGGCCACAATTAGTATTAAAGATGATTATTTGGCAAGAAAGAGAGTGGAGGATGACTCATATGAAACTGTATGAATGAGGAGGAAAGGGGAGGTTCCTAAATTGATTCCCCTTTCCCTTGACTTCCTCTCTCTATGGTGACCTACTTATTGTTCAGACATGCCTGCAACACGAGATACAAAACAAATGAGTTTGGTCATGAGCAAGTAAAGAAGGGTGTTGGTCTAGAAATTCTTGAGGATTGTGAGAAATTGCCTTTCTAGATGTAAAACAAAGCAGCTTTTTATTCTTTTTTTAAGATAAACCAGCTGCTGAAATAAAGAGGAAAGTCACTGTTTATTAGTTAAGACATTAAGCAGCAAAATTAGAAGCTGATTTTGTTCTGTAAGAGCTAAACATTTTTTTTTTTTATGTTTAAGGTCTGCAATTTTAATTTTTAGGTTTTAAACAACACAAAACAAGAAACGTGCTGTGCCACACAACTAGAAATGCGCAGGTTACACTTTAGTAGTCAAAGCATTTGTTTTTAAACCATCTCTACTAGGGATGGGACGATTTATGAAAACCGTCAGAATCGTTCGGTTCGACTGTCTCGGTTCGGTTCGCGTGCGTTTCGTTCGGTTCATGCGCTGCTCCTTTTTCTCATAGAGGAAGCGATTACACTCCAGAGCAGAAGGTGGCAGTGCTGCGACCAAAGCCAACCGCCAGTAGTAAACAAGAAGAAGAAGAAGCAAAGCAGCTTAGCCGGGTGTAGCAGGGGAAAAAATCAGTTGTTGTGGAGAATTGTGTCGGACTGGCGAGTGGGAAAGAACAGGAGTTGGAAGACGCGCCAGCAGCACTTTATAGGTCTGCTGTATGGGAGCGCTTTGCATTTAGAGTGACCTACGATGACGACGGAAAGAAAGTTGTGGATAAAAGTGCAACAGTGTGCAAGCATTGTGCAACACGTTTTGTTTATGCTAACAGCAACATGTCATGCTAACCCCGAAATCCCTCATACTCCGTCAGCAACCCCCGCCCCGCCCCCCTGCGCTCCAGACCGGCTGCTCA